GCTCCGAATAATGTCATAAGAAATAATTGTTAATACATGTAATGCTAAAGTGTCCGACCATATTAATTGTAAGAATGCACTAAATGTATCTACATGTAATTAATAGAATAATATATACTGAATAATGTACCACAAATGCTTCAATTCATTCTATAACATGCTAATTCATGTTACATGCCTAAATCCTCTTGAAAAATATTTTTTATCATAATATAAATTTTCAGACAGAAATTTGTGTAAATACCTGAATCATCTCATCATGCTGAAGTTGTTCAGAACTTAACTGAAACTGTAACGCTGATATTTCCTGATTTTGGGTTTCAATCTGAGTTTTTAGCTCTTCATTGAGATTTTCTAGTTCTGTCTCTCGATCATTTCCACTTTTTGATTTTTCTTCAATCATATGTTCAAGATCTGTACATTTTTTACTCCAATCTGCACACTGCTCTTCTAAAGAAAGTTTTGATTCAGTAACAGCCTCCAAATTCAGTTTCAAATCAGAAAGCTCTGACTCTAGTTCTTTGTTCTGAATTTGTAAGGATTCAAGATTTTGGCTCTGATTTTCAAACTGATGTGTCATTAGTTCCATTCGAGATGTGAGAGAAAATGACGACTCAGTTAATGTTTTGATATTAGTTTCAGCTTCACATAAACTTTTCTTTAAGCCATCTCTCTCATCTTCAAGTAAAACTTTGTCTTTACCAAACTCTTCTTCCAACAACCTCTTACTCTCAAATTCTTTCTCGAGAACCTCATGTCTCTCTCTTAAAGACTCAAATTCCTGGAGTTTCTTTTCCATGGTGTCTTGTAACTCCAAATTCTCTTTTTCAACTCTCTCCTTTGATGAATACGCTGCATCTAATTCAACCGATGTCTGGCTAAGCTGGTCTTTAATAGATTGAGTATCATGTAAAGCGTCATCTAATCGAGTATTTAAAGTGTCTCGTTCATTTTCATATTGTTCGCATTTGTTTTGTAAGTCTAAATTTAATTTGTTTAAATCGTCCAACTGCTTTTTTAATTCGGTATGTTTGGAATCAATGTCTTTTCTATTAGTTTGTAATTCAGATGATCTTGTTCTTTCTTGTTCTAATTTGATTGACATTTCATTCAATTTCTGATTGGCAGTAGCAGATTCAGTTTCTAACAAATGTTTCTCTTTCTCAACTTCTTCTTTTTGTTTTTGAATAATTTCACTTCGACTTACAAGTTCACTTAGATCAACTTGCAATAATTCTATGGTTTTACTTTTGGAATCCAGATCAGCGTTACAAAATTGGATCTTTTCTTCCAAATACTTTTGTGTTTTTTGGACGTCTGCTTTTTGACTACTTTCTTGTTGAAGTTTTTCTTGGTTTACTTGAATGGAATTTTCTAATTCACGTTTTTCAACTGAAAGGGTGTTGAATTGTTCTTTCAATTCTTCTAACTCATGGTTTAATTTATCACAATCTTTAACCAATATTGCAATTTCCCCGTTTTTATTTGAAACACTTTCCTTTAAGTCCAAAACCGATTTCGACAAAGTAAGAATTTCATTGTCTTTTTCCTTAATTTCATTGTTAAACTTAGTTTCCTTTGACGAGAAGTCCTTCATTAATTCAGAAAGTTTGCTTTCCATCTCACTTTCCCCTGTTTCCCGTAGTTGAAGCTGATTGTTTAACAGTTCGTTTTGTGACTGAAGATCTGTTATGTTTGACGTCAGAGTTTTTGTGTGCTCAGAGATTTTCTTTAAACCAAGTAATGTGTCCATCTGTTCATCATCTAATATCTGAAAACAGATATATATGTAATTCATTAATTAACCTGTGGATATCTTTATTTCATTATCAAATTTTGCCAACAATAGTCAACCAGAAATTTGTGTTGCTGTAACATAAGAATTTATTGTCAATTGGTAATTAAAATCAAAACATTATTTAGAAAGAAAGTCAAATTTCAAATGATTTCTGTATATCCATTAAATTTCATTAAATTATTGGCCTTTATTGGAAAATTAATATTTCAGTTCTTATAAATAAATTTAGACAATAAATGTTCTTGCTTTATGATAGTGTTGATTCACTCAAGACTGTGGAACTAATTAAACTGACATATCTTTAGCAGTGAGGGCTTACTGGAGAACCTGTGGGAAAACCCATGAGGTAAAGTGGACGTAAAATGTAAATCACTCATTGCATAAAGACTAAGTCCAGGACCATTTAGAAGGGCCACAGTGTTTCAGTGAGTATGACACTGGCTTACAAACCAGCCTGGTTTCCCCTTGTCAGTGGTGGAATCATCGAAAAACATCTAGTAGTTTGGATGGAACTGAAAACCAGGTCCTGTGTAAGTAAAATGAATTAAGATTTCACATCCTACTTTTCTGTACCAACCAGACTAATGAAGACAAGCATAATATGCCATGCAGTGTGCTATAAAGTCACTTAAAGATCCCCTGACAGAGTAAGCAATAGTGCGGCTGTCCGGGCAAAATTTCCCACATAGCACACTGCAAAGCATATTTCCATCTTAATAAGAGCAGGAAAGTAGGACGTTAAACCCCATTTCAATTCATTTTGGACCATTCAGCCAACCAACTCTACTGTTACATGTGTGTGAAATAGCTTTATTTAACGTCCGCTTCCACCGAAGTATATACTTATACTGGGAATAGGCTCACATTAATTCACACAAAATATTTGTTCTTCTTTGTTAATTTAATAAAAATTTGGTTAAAATTCCTTGTTACATATAGTACGGAATAAAAAAATAAACAAATATTCTTGATTTGAATTAGTACTTGTAGGAAATGGTTGACAGTAGAATATGAGCATTAAAAAAACAAAATGAAGTTTAATTCAATTATTCTTTAAAATGACGAGTTAATAATCCAGTAACTAATATACTGTACAGTTTACCCATTAATTCTATCTTACCTTAAGATGAAAAGCTGCCATCATTTGAGAAATCGCTTCTTCCTGTTCTTTCAAAGCTTCCTTATATTCTGCAACAGCCTCTTCTGAATGGTGTAATGAATTTTTAGTTTCTTCAATTTTGGATAACATTTTACTTTTTACGGACTTCAGTTCTTCTTTCAATTTATTTTTGCTGACTTTGAGATCTTCATGCTTGGAATTTAAATCTTTTAACTTCTCTCTAGTTTCGTCAAGATTCTGTCGGAGCGTTTTGCTATCTGATTTACTAGAATCTAGTGCTTGCTTTAAGGAACTTATATCCATCTGATATCTTTTCTGCTTTTGTACTAACTTATCTTTAGAAGACTTAAGTGTTTTAAAAAGTTCCTGAGTATTAAAATCAACATCACTAGGATGAAACCGACTAAGGTCACTTATATCGCTGAAACAACCAATTATATCATTTAAGGCACGGTCATATCTATTTTGAGCAGTAAATAAATCTGACTTATTTTCTTGCAAATCAAGTGTCAATTTGTCAACTTCATTTTTGGATTCTGAAAGTTCTTTGGACACAGCAGCCATTTTGTCATCATGGCTTTTATCTAATAATGTTTTTTCTTGTGCAGATTTTTCTAGGGAGATTTCCAGACTATTTTTGACATTTGATAAATCAGAATATTTCTCTTCCAAATTGGATAACTGAATTTCCAGTTGTGCGTTTTTTCCTTTTATATCTGTGATTTCGGTTTGCGTCTGCTGCAGGGTATTCAACATGTCACTAAGTTTACCGGCAGCATCTAAGCTAATTGACGCATCAGCTCCTTTTTCTTCTAAAACTCCTTCCAGTTTTTTCAACAGTTCCTGATTGTGGTTCTCAACACTGCGTAGTTTATTCTCGTGAATTGTCAATTCTTCAACTTTCTTATTGAACAATTCCTTTTTTAACATTAGATCATTCTGACAACTTTTAAGTTCCAATGTCACATCTGCTTTAGAAGTTTCTATTTGTAAAATCTCTTTCCGATGTAAATCAACTGCATCTGTCAACTTGGTATTAATGACTGATAAAGAGTCCTGTAGTTTTTTAACATCTTGTTCCATTCTGTCTTTTTCAATTTCTAATTTCTGTTTGTCATCTTCCAATAACTTCATCTTGCCTTTCCAATCTTTTTCTTGTTGACTTTTATCATTTGACAGTTGATCATTCCTAAAATAAAACAATAAGCACAAGATATCAAATTATAATGATGCTTAGACAGTTAAAATTTGTAACCAGCGGCTGCCAGACAGGATACGCCCACATTTTGCAAGAGATGGATAGAGAACATGCTAAAAACAAACGGGATTTTTTGTACTGTACAATCAGGGGCAATAATCCAGAAAGTTATGGTCTGAAATGTGCAAATATCAAGAGGGACTGAGATCTTTGGGATATAAAGATATGTTTTAAGTTTCATGAAAATCAGATAAAAATTGTGACCACCAGAAGGTCCACAACCTTCATATTGCACTTTTACACAATTTATGTACAAAGAGCGTCCATTTTGTCAGGCAGTTTCATTTTGATTTTCCCGAAATTCGAATTTAACCTTCATTATGGTGGAATGGTGACATATTTAAACGTTTTTTAAAATCGGAAAAAAAAATTGTGCAAGCTAAAAATGCGATTTTTCAGGAGCCATAATCCAGGAATTACGGTCGGATATGCACAATTGTCAAAAGGAACCAAGAAATTATTGTGTAATGTTGATATATGCACATGTTTTTTTTTTTAAATCGGATAAAAATTGTGACCTCTACAGGGACCACAAGCTAAAAATGTGATTTTTTGTTCAATCAAGGGCCATAATTCAGGAAGTTACGATCCGATATGTGCGAATATCAAAAGGAACCAAGATCTATGTGTATTTCAAGTTTGATCAAAATCGGATCAAAATTGTGACCTCCAGGTAACGGTAATATATTCAAACGTTTTTTTAAATCGGATAATAATTGTGACCTCTAGAGGGACCACAAGCTAAAAACATGATTTTCCATGCAATCAGGGGCCATAATTCAGGAAGTTACCATCCGATATGCCCGAATATCGACAGGATCCAAGATCTTTGGGTTATAAACATGCATTTCAAGTTTCATCAAAATAAGATCAAAATTGTGACCTCGAGCGGGTCCACAACCTTGATATACCATATTTTTACACTATTTGAGTTCCAGGGCGGGCCATTTTGTCTGTCAGTTTTGGTCTGATTTTTACGAAATTCGATCTCAACCATCCTTAGGGTGTAACGGTGATATATTCAAATGTTTTAATTTAAATCGGATAAAAATTATGACCTCTATAGTGTCCACAAGCTAAAAACAGGATTTTTCGTACAATCAGGGGCCATAATTCAGGAATTTAAGGTCTGATATGCGCGAATATCGACAGGAACTGAGATCTTCTGGTTATAAAGTTACATTTCAAGTTTCAACAAAATTGGATAAAAATCGTGACCTCTATAGAGTCCACAAGCTAAAAACACGATTTTTTGTACAATCAGGGGCCATAATCCATGAAGTTACGGTCCGATACATACCAATATCGAGGAACCGAGATCTCAGGGAGATAAACCTATATTTCAAGTTTCGTTGAAATTGGATAAAAATTGTGACCTGTAGAGTGTCCACAAACAAATTGTCCAGACGGACGGACAAACAGTGGCGACCGCATATGTCCACATGAAAATATGGGCGTATAAAAAGTATTTCATCAACGATAATTAATCCTAATAATTTTTAATACGCGGTACATTTTCATCAAATTCTAAAGGTCATGCTGTTTATAACAATTAATGAGTCAAGATATATTATTCGATAATCAGTTGTCACATTTTTGGTGTTACCATAACTATTTGATACTATGCAAAATAACAGTTTTATAAGAATCACTAGCATTATCCATGTACAGAAGAAATTACTGGGCTGCTATATGAGTAGCTGCACTCTACTCAAAATAATGAGAGGGAGAGAGAGTAACGTCGACTCAACACAAACTAGGGGTCTTTAGCAGAGGGAGAAAACGCACGTGGTTGGACAGGGGACCCTACTTCTTGTCTCGTACAAGCCGGGAATCAAAACCACGCCACTTGACTCAATGACAGACCTTCTGATCCAACGTGCACACGTTAACCATTTGGCCCAAAAAATAAGGCGGACATATATAAAAAGTGTCACAATTGGAGGCACTTATTATGTACGATTCTAACCAGAGATTAGAAGCTACATGTAGTAGTATAAATCAAGCCCTGTCAATATCTAATACTTTTCTGGATCATAAAGGCATAATAACTTGATCAAAAAGTGGAAATTATCATCGTCAATAATTTTAAAAGAGTAATGTGCATAGCCTACATAACAAGGAGTTACATTATTACAAACCTTTTTTCCAAGTTTCTGTAATCTTCTTGTAATTTGACCAACTGTTCCTGGCTATCTTGAAGTTGATTCTGTACAGCCATTAATTCTCCTTGTGTTACCCACGCTGACTTGTCAGATAAAAATTTCTCTTCCTGAAGTGATTCTACCTTCCCTTTAAGCTCAGACTGGAGACTTTCTGAATAAGCTAAATCTTGATTCAATCTGTCTACTTCATGAGAGTCAAAAGTAGGTATTGACATGTTCAGTACACTGGTATTATCCTGAAAGTCAATTCAGCAAGAAACATTAGAATATGGTTTAAAAGAATGTCATATAGTTGTTATATTTGTAAATGAAATGAAATGGGGTTTAATGTCCTACTTTTCTGCTCCGACAGGGCTAATGAGGACAGGAAAAGTTTTCACTGTTTTATTTGTATAATATTTTATATAGAATGAATTAAGATTTAATTAGAACTTGGACCACCCGAAACTACTGCTCTCTCTTGCACCTCAAACCACCTGTTTTATACTAATAGCTGTGAATTATTTAAGGACTGTATCTACACTAGTTCTGTGACTCAGGCCTTTAGAGGCAGTATAGCTAGAAAGTAGTAGTTTCTTGCAATTTTCGAAAATAAGTTATAAACCTTTTTATTCAATACCTACATATAGGGGCCTACTAAAGGGTAAGATACTGATCTGAAGATCCCTAATTATTCTAATCTGCACTGTGATTTTATTGTATGGGTTGTCACCTAGACAATCCATCATATATCATTTGTTTTGGTTTTTTTTAAAAAATCAACCAAATTTCATCTGATAGCTCTGCATATGGGGGCATAGTGAATATAGGGGTCATGGTTTAAAGGGTTAATGTACATAATGACCTATCTTTTCAAGTCTGACTCTTATATCGGTTGCAATTATTTGAAAATGTAATGTTTACTTATGCTCTATGAATTGAGGCCTAACAACATACACCGAGGCAATGACATAAGCTACTAATTCTACTAAGATACACATTGACAAGATTCCAGAACACTACCCAGATTATGGCTTTATTTATCATCAACTGGACTCTTTAGTGAATAAAGTATGTTTTTTGTAACTTTCATAATTTCTTAATCTTAGCATGTGATACATTTTGGTAGTTGAATTAGAATACAGATAGACTAGGTTAAATAGGTACTTACTGTAGTTTGAACACTCGCCATACTACTGATACTACTTCGTCTACTAGGTGGATTCCACGAAAAACTACCTCCAGATTTTCTACAATTATAATATAATAAACACTACCTATCATACACAATTATATTAAAGTATATCATACACAATAATTATCCAGGGTAATAAATATTTTATATAAAAAAGGATAAGTAACAACCCACTTGAAGTTGGCCATTGAATTAGCCAGAAAACTGCAGACATATTTTGATTTATTTCAACACCATATAGTGCATTAACTTGTGTTTTTGCGAAATTCAAAATCAATGGAAAGCTGTTAGTTATTGTTAAATAAAAATAAGCAAAGCGTCAGGTAATTAATTACCTTTGTCATAAATAAATGTAGTGATTTGTTGTGATTGACAATATATAAAAAAGATTAAATACCAAAATATACTTACTTTGCAAATGAAGGCCATGCACTGTCTAAGTCATAGCCTCGAGATGAAAGGTCAAAATTCACTTCATTAAGATCATACAGACATGAGATTATAGTTGAAGATTTCTCTTTCTTAAGCCAAATACTTTGTGGAAAAAAGTAATCACTAAAATGATGAGAAATGATACCAGTATTTTAAAAATAAGCCAGACAATATTTTCAAATTAAAATTCACATTTCCAAATATAAACAAATGCTGGCTTACAAACATTTCCATCATAGTTGTGCATACTGTCTGCTATTACAGCTGGTCATATGACTATAACACTATGATGTCATTGGTGCTAGGCACCAACAAAGTTATAATGGTAAGTTATGTTACATGATAAACCAAACAGCAACTTCCGTCACGAGTAAAAGGTTAATAAAAAAAAAATATTTCAAATTATTCTTTGAAGAATAATAATGAAATTACTAAATATCTTTAATAAAGAATTTAATTAGATTTTTTGCAAATTTTACAAGTCAGAATAGGCTCCCTTTAGACAATCATCAAACCAAAATCAAACCAGCTAAATCTGTAATCTTAGAAGATACCAGAGATTATCTAGAGATATTTATCTCCTCCGAGAAGTGGTTGTAAAATACATATATCATGTAAACATACCTTGTAACTTTACCATTTATTACACATTGTTGTATGCTGTCTGGTAGTCTATTGTGTACCAAACAAAATCTTATCAAAGCTCGACCTTTACCTAAGGATGTCTTGTGCTGAAGTGAAAAATAACAAAACTAACTTCACTGTGAAAAATAACAAAACTAACTTCACTGACAAACAAAAAGGCCTTGATGTATTAAAAATAGGTATTTTTCTAGCAATGAAATAATAAAATTTCATCTTAAAAATAAATTTTGCATATCCACGCCAACAATTTATTACAAAAACCTATTAGTGGGAATCAAGAAAGTTGTAATTAAATAAATTTATAGATACAACAAGCAGTTGCAATGCCAAATACACCCACATTTTACAAGTGATGGATAAAGAACAAGCTCAACAAAAAAGAAGCGATTTTTCGTACAATCAGGGCCCATAATCCAGGAAGTTACGGACCGATATGCGTGAATATCTATAGGAACCGAGATCTTCTGGGTATAAATATATATTTTAAGTTTCATCAAAATCAGATAAAAATTGTGACCTGAAGAGGGTCCACAACCTTGATATTATATACTTTAACACTATTTGCGTACAAGGATTAGCAATTTTGTTGGGCCGTTTGACTCCAAATTTTACAAAATTCGAACTCAATCGTCATTTTGGTGTAACCGTGATATATTTAAACGGTTTTTAAAATTGGATCAAAATTGTGACCTCTATATTGTCCATAAGCTTAAAATTTTCAGAAGTTACAGTCTGATAAGCGCCAATATCGAAGTGAACCAAGTTCTTTGGGATATAAACATATATTTTAAGGTTCATCAAAATCGGATAAAAATTGTGACCTTTAGTGTAAAGAGAGTCCACAATCTTTTGTCAGGCAGTTTTGGTCCGACTTTCACGAAATTCGAACTAAATCTTTCAATTCATTAGGGTGTAATAATAATAATAACATATTTAAACATTTTTTAAAAATTGTGACCTCTAGAGGGTCCGCAAGCTAAAAACGTGATTTTTCGTACAATCAGGGGCCATAAATCAGGAAGTTACAGTAAAATGTGCACGAATATTGAAAGGAATCAAAATTGTGACCTCTAAGAGGGTCCACAATCTTGATATTACATACATTTAACACTATATTTGCATACATTTTGTTGGGCAGTTTCGGACCAATTTTCACGAAATTCGAACTCAATTATCATAATGGTGTAACAGTGATATATAGAGGAACCACAAGCTAAAAACTTGATATTTCGTACAATCAGGGGCCATAATCCATGAAGTTTCAATCCGATACATGCCAATATCGAAAGGTATTAAGATCTTTTGGAAATGAACCTATATCTCAAGTTTCGTTAAAATCGGATAAGAATTGTGACCTGTGTAGTGTCCACAAACAGATTGTGGACCGACGTCAAGTCAGACTTACAGGGGGTGCATCAATATACGTCCACATGAAAATGTGGGTGTATAAAAACAGTCATACCTCACCACCCAAGGATTTGACAAATTTGATGCCATCATTGGAACCTTTATTTGAAGACAAACAATCACAAAAGTAGTCCCAATAATCTTTCCTTCTTCCTAGTAGTGAGTATTTTTCTAAAATACAAATAAAACATTATCAAATAATTTTACTAACAAGACATGTCTAACATCAGAGTTGAAAAATGCTTAAATTTTTGCTAGTCATTCAAATTAAAACAATGAAATAAAATTTGTATCAGTATGGGTTCCGGAATAAATTTTATGAGATTCTTCAAATCTGATTCAAATTCAAAGATTCCCTTTCTGAATTCTTGAAGATTCACTTGAATTCTCTATTACAAGTGTAGTATGAATATACAGGATTATTATCACTGTTTTACAAAGAATCTCAGCCTCAATCCAAAAATAAACAGATGACACCCATTAATTACTTGCACATTTTTCTTTTTATAGAGTATCTAGTAATCAATATGTTTATCACTATGCTTATCCAAAACAGAAAATGTTTATTATCGTATGTATACTAATCACAGTTTTGATGTAATGAAACTTTACACAATGTTTCATCAGTCCACATCAATTAGAAACAGGTGTTTCTAACAGATAATCAATTTGCTTATCTCTACTTAGCCTAAGCAGAAAATGCTTATTACTGAACTCAGTCAAGAAATTTCCAGAATGGACATATACACTAACAAGTTTTAACATTCTGCTTCAAGGAGTTAATGTGTCCCAACCAATCAAAGTGCTAATCTCTGCTTAGACTACAAAAATGTTCACCATCGAATGGATATCTACACCAAGTTGGAACATGCTACCTGAATCAGAAGAGTTATTGTGTTCTTAAATGTTTGACGGATATATGGATTGCTGCTTAGCCTAGGCAGAAAACACTCATCACTGTTTATATAGTACCCTGCTGTAAATGGGTTCCAGTGGGTAAAAAAATAATTTAATACAAAAATTCTCTAGCAAAATAATAACTTTACTGCATATTCATTGTCCCAAGACTAGTGTACTAAAATATAAGATTGACTGTTAGAGCCAGGCCAAAAAATATTATTGATTTACTTGTGGATTTGTGCAAAAATTAAAATACTTTTAGGCTTGTGCTAAGTTATAAACAAGAAAAGTTATTCACCTTTCATATCCATCTGAAAGAGATGTTCAAGTTTGGCACAAAATCTCTGTAGAGTTTGATCATCATCATTAATAGGTGTCCTTGATTCTTGAAATATTTCTACCAGTAACTTTACACATTCTACAAAATTCACAACAAAACTAACATAATTTACCTTAAGACTAAGAAAGAGACAATTTTTAACAGTCAAAACTAACATAATTTACCTTAAGACTAAGAAAGAGACAAGTTTTTAACAGTCACTCATCACAAATTTTATGTCATATGGAATATCTCTATTTTAATAATTCACTTGTGCAACATGTCTTTAGCTGTGGGAGAAAAGCCACAAGGTTATAGGCAGGTGACTATAGTCTTTGTTATGTGCATAGAAACCTAGGATCAAATGACAAACCGTATGCGATAAAGTGAGAGTGTTAGACACCCGCCACCTCCTTAATAGTAAGTGCAGGAGGACCGCACTACACGTAAAATAAAATCTACAAGGTAAACCTGCAGGCAAGACAGAATATAAACATTGTAAAAACTAAACAACTAACATTAGAGATAACAAGAAAGCAAGTCCCTCCACACAGCAGACACATTTCAATATAATGGATGAAGTGTAACGGATGTCATGCATGCTTACTCTTTCTAGATCTGATACCAGATACCACTTCTCATTTCAGGTTTTAACATATAATAACATCATTTTGGTGGTATTTTTTCACTTAAATCTCTGATTATGTTAGAGGTCTTCAACCAGATGTTATCCTAATCCAAGAAACCTCCAGCTTTGGAAATCCCCAGGTCATGTACTACTACATGTAAGGCAGGATATTTATTTACTCTTTTTACCTGATGCCAGATGTTCGAGGAGTTGACATAGCTAACAAATTTTTGCACTATTTTCATTCTTCTAAAAATATTTGCTTTTTCAGAAGAATTGCCAAAAATTTCTGATCAAACAGAATTTGCAGAACAAATAGGACGACATTTATCAAAGAATCATAACATTAAAATAATGGTAAGACAAACTAATATATATTGTACCTTCAACATCTTGAATGATTTTCTCTTGTTGTGGCCCTGTACTGAGACTTGCAGCTGTTACTACCTTCGACATACTTCTAGTTTCTATTTAACATTTCAATTTTAAAAATCTGCAAGAAGACAGTTAAATTGCTCACTTGTGTTCTCTTTCTCTTTTTGCATTGTGTTAACTGTCCTGAAGTATGAGTAACATAAAAAATTTTACTTCTGAACTTTTTGCTTTTCTTAATGAAGTTGTTCTTGGGTGGCAGGTCACAGCCTCACAGGTGCCCAAGGTATAGGATTACTCCTTTCCTTAGAGCATAATTATGCTTATAATAAGCCCAAGAGTAACAATGTGTAAACAATCGTGATCTTTATAATTTCAATATTCTATTTGCTTTAATTTAATAACATTCAGAGATAGATTCCTGTGCAAAATACTACATGATCCCATGCATGCACAAAAATTGTTATTCTCAAATAGGCCTACAATTATTTTTCTAATAACAAAAATAATTGCTAATTCAATTCCAAAACATTAATAAAGACTTTGAAGTAATAAACAATAAAATAGTTTGTGACAGACACAACATCCTCCAATCTGAAGGAGTAATCCTATTACATAGGCATTTATATAAGACCTGTCATACACAAAGTCTAGAGCATGTCTTCGTTGAATGTGCTTTGGTTCATTCTGTTCCAATACATTGTACTAGTAAGTTTTCTCTGAGATGTTTGTGCAACGTGTAAGCTATATTTCTCTATCTATCAGAAACATTAAAATTCAACTTCTAAAAGTTTACATTGTCATTGTGGGCAGCTGCTTAAAACAATCAATGTAGGGTAGCCTACTATTCAAAATACATTTTACACTGAACAGTTACAGTACTAAAATCCAAACATCTTAATCTAATTAATTCTTTTAACTTTTAGTCTTTATTTAACTAAGTGTTAGTGGTTATATTATTTGTAATGTAAATAACTTATTGCATTGCCAAATTAATTCGTAGGACTTATGTTTTGTTATAAAATCTAGCTGGGAAGATTTTAGTCACATGATCTACACTCAGCATAATATGCAGAATCCTTCTGTGACAGATCCATGTAGCACTGCTAGCAAACAAATAAACTTGCTTAGAAGAATCAAGAAACTACACAAGAATAAGATGTCAAACGTTGTAGTGTACTTCCGTCGGGTCAATGCAATAATAAAACTACACGCCCGTAATGCCATTTAATGCCCATAATCAATACCTTATGATATAAGTTATACTAACTTTTTACCATGTAGGTCAAATTTAACAACAGTGCGTACTATGTAAGTTATTTGTTTGTTTTCATCCCAGCAGTAGTTATTTTCATAAAGGAAATTAGCTCACTATTAGGAAATAATTATTCGATATTCAGTGCTCTTCGCTGGTTATATGCATATTGTGCATAAAGTATTTACAATAAAACAACTTTCCCTCTACAATCGTGACAGTAATAGAAAATTATTACATGCTTATAGAATAATATTTGTACTAGCCTTGCACAATTTTTCAGAACAAACAAATATTAATACTGAATGCGAACTAATTTCATTACTATACATATCTTTCCGTATTGAAAACGGTCGAAAAGGGGAGTAACTGTATGTTGATTTTGGGTGCAGACTACCCAAATTGTTGTTTTAACGTCTTGTTCCTTTATCCGGCTCTTTTGCCAAATATTAGTTGGGTTGGACGCTCTCTACTTCAGACGCAGCAATATTTGGTAATGTCTTGCTCCAAAGTTTATGAGGTTGACCACAGAAAGTTTGAAATATACAAATTGGCAATCTGTTATAGGCTACACTAATTTACAGCTTCGCGAAACCTTCTTTTAACTCTCTAGAATTGGTGCCTTTTACTCATTTTACGCCTTTGCGTACTATTTTATGTATACTCATTTACACTAAATAGGAAATATATTGTTATCCAGATATACTTCCAACACATTTATTTATTTTTTTCTTAAAGGCTCAATACCACTCTTGTTGTAACTGAATAATATGTCCCAATCTTTATTCTGGTCAACAAATTGTACTATTTTACAATATTCCAATTAATTGATGATACAAATTTGATCTTAACACACCTAATTTAAAAAAATTAGAAAAATTCAACTAAATGATTTGAAAAGCCTGACGTAAAGCTTTTCAAATGTGAATTGGATTTAAAAACATTTTTGAACCCTCTGGACTAATACAGGATTTAATGGATAATTTACACAACAGGTAGGACACTAACCATCTAGTACTTAGAATATGGCTATTTTTTATTTTCTGGAGCTGTCAAGCCAGCAAGAGTGTTATTGTCTCTTTAATAATTTAAATAAAAAGTTAATATTCCCCGACGTTATCCCTATTAGTGATCGATAGTAGCAACCAAGCGAATATTTACTGCTGAACAGTTTGACAAATTGATAATAGTAGTAGTAGTAGTAGTAGTAGTAGTAGCATAAACATATGTAGGTTTGCAATCGAAAGAGTGCTGGATTAATCATGGTGGCATACTCCTCGCAGTGTTTCGTTTGATTATACCTAATTCCACTCAACACTGCTGTAAAGGAAGCAAATTTCTGTTCCAAATTATGACTGGTCAATAGTCCGATTAACAATCAATAGCTAACTGCATAACAATATCCTTACGCTTTAAACAGAGCTCCAAATTAGACCAAATATGTTTACATAACGTTACGTCATGACTCACGATTTTATTATGCCCAATTAACCAGAATATTGTAGAAAATCTAATTGCGTGACAAACAAGGCTATCAAAGCAAATACAATGTAAACACTACAGTTTGGAGACAACAATACTTTCACCGACTTTAATACCTTAGGGATGTCACGTTGCTGTACTTGGGATAGATTTGATTGAACGGGTCAAAGCTCAAGTATCAGAAGCCAATACAACAATGAGAGAGAGAGAAAGAGAGAGAGGGGGTAACCCCCACTCGACACAAACCACCCCCCTGCTCAGCTACATAAAATTCTTTGTAAAACAACCTTTTTATGAGAAAAGTGTCATAATATTGTTATCCAGATATACTTCCAACACATTTATTTATTTTTTTCTTAAAGGCTCAATACCACTCTTGTTGTACTTTATCCTTTATCGTCAGATGTTGCGACAGGATGGGCACTCAAAGCGCGAGATAATGATATAGACATATGTGATATCACAATTAATGCTTTGCATCAATAAAATTGAATCACAATGTCATCGTATTAATTCATAATAAAAATTGACGTCAAACAGGATGTTGGATTTCTCTGTTTAAAAAGATCAATTTGTATGTATTTACGCCAGATCTTATGATAAAGCGCGCACGTGCTAACCATTAGGCCATCCAACCCCCCGCAATGGCCAGAGAGGGATTTCTCGGGCCCTTAATTGCTTCAGGAATATGTCATGGTGGGGTCTTGAGCATATTATATGGGCACCCAACCTAATACAAACGACCAGAACTTTGACATTATTATTCTACACCATGAATGTAACTACACCAAACCTAATTTGAAGTAGGTCAGTGATACATAACGGGGAGACTTTGACACAGCTATACCCTACATCGGCCTATTAGACTAGCTACAATATTTTCGCGGTAATATTGTGTACAGATGGGTTAAAATGCACAATTTTCAACACACATCATTACAGTTTGTATTGAAACAAGTAATTCTATCAGAAATAGTGAAGACTGGACCACTAAATTAGTTACCGATCAGTTCTTCTTTGTGGTAATGCGTTCTGCATTTTCGAGGCGATATTTATATTGTACAAGCCGCCATGACACCACCCAGGTGAAATCTCGCCAAATATCGCGTCGCGTTACCTCGCCCATCGCTTCCCTTATAAGGTAGTGTTACTACGCTAGATTACTATGAGAGAATATAAATATGGATACGAAATCCATATATGGAAAGTGACGCATGATCACGTGAGACGGAGTGCGCATGCTATTTCTGGATTGGCGGACATTTTAAGTTGGATAGGAGAGAAATTTCGCGTAGCAGTTGGGTTTCATCAAATCATAAAATTATGCTGTACGACTTCACCTTTATTTCAATGGGAATTGGTTTATTATATGTTAAGCTATGCATGTGCAGTACAGGTTGGTGTCAGTAACATGTGTAAATTAGGGGATCTATAGGCCGGTAACTTTTTTGTAGTCATTTGACTAAAAAAAAAACATGCTCAAAGAAACCTTTTAGGACGACCCACTACTGTAGCTGGAGTTAGACTGAAGATATCAGTAGTGGAACCATTTCTAATATTATGCATATCAAATAATTATAGTCTAGGAACTAAACGTCAAAGAATACGGATCCAGAAACCAGCGTTCCTCGATTCAGCGGCAACAAAAAAAAAAACAAAAAAAAACAAAAAAAAAACAAACAAAAATACTAATGACATTTTTGACAGATTCTGCGTTCAAAACTGGAATATAAATGAGTTCAAAGTTACCTTGATTCCACCTCCTAGTAGCACAACAATATTATTTTATTCAATAAACTGAATTGGACTGAACAATAGGCTAAGGCCTATATAAGTTCTCTCCAAACATATAAAACAGATAAATCTTATGTTTACAATCATATGTATAGACACCGAGTTACAAACATATAAACATTTCTTGGAGTGTAATGGTGAGATATATATTACATTTTTATTTTAGATTATGGAAATAAAAAAAAATACATATTGTAAATATAGTGTTAAAATCTCTTGCTATCTTTTATATATTTGTGCAATATTTCGAATATGTTAGAATGGGTATCATCTGAAAGATCGGGGTTGTCATATAAAATTAGGTCGTACACCTTGTAGAGCTGATGCCGATTATTTTGTAGAATTGTTATTGGGGCAGAGTCACACTGATCCGCAGTGAATATTTGCTTGGCCGCGACAATCACTGATAAGGATGACATTGATGCGGCTTAATGCGCTAGAAATATTAACTTTTTTCCTGCGACAAATTAAATTCTAAAACATTTTTTGTATATATTGGAAAAATAAATAAAGGCGTTTAATCGTATTGGTAGGTAAAAATTATTTCCGATTTAGTGTAAATGGGTATTAAATTGACTAAAATGCAGCATTCTCTCCGATGCAGTTATGTCTTATGTAAACAATGCACGCGCCATTCAGCCAATGATTCACACCGCGTGCTGTGACAGCACGTGTTAAGGCAGTCATCTATGACAGAGATATTATACGAGACTCGTAATTCTCTAATTCTCTGTGAAACAGATTGGGGCAGAGTAAGCTGGACATATAAAAAAATAATGGTAATTATCTGCGTTTGTAGAATTACACCTAGGGCACACCTTTGTTTCACTAATAAAATGGTAGAATAAGTGATTATTTAAAGATTCATTATGCAAGAGCTAATCTGCTTATTGTGGGTATTTCTTTGGGCCTGAAATGTTATATAAACTATTAATTAGACATTTATTAACATGAAAAGATCATAATCAGCTCTCGATGTCATCTTATGTGTCGGATGTTCACTAGATTCGAATCCGGTTTGCTGCTCAACGCTCATTGATGCTCATCATCGGTATCCGTAGTGTACTCATTCTGATTTACTTAACTATACCCTGGGTTAACACATAGGATTTCCACGATTTCAAATTATCTGCCCTGGGCCCTTATTCACGAAAACTTAAACTAAGATAAAATCGAAATTTTAAGAAATACTGCAATTCGATTGACTGACCAGTAAAATCAATTTGCATATATCCAATGAAGTTGCAGTATTTCTTAAAATTTCGATTTTATCTTTGTTTACGTTTTCGTGAATAAGGGCCCTGGCCTTGATTGTAGCTATAGTCTACGAACCAATCAAAAAACAGTTTACAAACCTGTGGTTTCGCCTTCGTTTTTATAAGGGTAGATAACCATATTCATGTCCATTTACTGAATAATTTATGTAAGTAATGCATATATTTCTAATTCATTTATATTTAAATTGTATTATCAATGTGTAATATATTTCGCTGATTTCAAATATGTATAACATCTATATGTTTGACTTTTTTTGTAATATAACTACTCGTTCTTTTTCTGAAATGTTTCATTCTGTTATGTTTATTATTTTAACTTTTGAACTTGAACTTGAACTTTTATACAGGCGAAGCAAAAAGTTTGCTATAGCCAAAAACACAGATATAAATAGTATGCATTGTAATTAATATATACGTATAGATAACCGTATAAAATATATAATCCCCCTTCCACCTTTGAAAACTGAAATATAAACACATATACATATAACTAAATAACACCACCACAACCCAAACCATTTCCCATTAGGTATGGTTATATAACAGTTGTTCTCTAATTTTCATTGAGTGATACAGATATTTTCCAAGATTAAGCAGTTTTATATTATTATTACTGTGATTCATGAGGTTTTTTTAGTTTTTGAAGAGATGGAAAAGACCAAAAATATCGCGAAAAATATTTTCTACGGATGAATATGTAAGCGGGACAGCACAGCAGAAAGTGAAATTCATCTTCAACAGCTTTCATGTTACAACATTTGCAAAATCTTTTATTTCTTTCGATTTTATTATATCGCCCAGTTTCGATGTTTAGCTTGAGAAGACCACAACAAAAATGACATATAATAGTTTTATATTTTACTTGAATATTCGATTGGAGGTAAAATTCTGGTTCATGAATAGTTTTATATAGTTTGTAAAACCGTAGTTTACTCGAGTCTTCTATTGTGGCAATTTGATTCACATTAACTTGTCTACGATATCACGTGGAGTGGACGTAAAACTCCGCGGACGAAAGAACGATTCTCAGTAAAACTCTTGAACCTACATAAACGTCCGTTTTTCATTAATATAATATTATATAATTTGTTATTAATAAATACGCATTTAGAATAATTTGAACTTCTTTCATTTAGGCTAACCTTGTCCCATGAGAGTTAGGCCTACTTCCCTTTGCCAACTTCCTTTGCAATTAACGATTTATGGGATTGGTCGATAAAAATAGCACAATCATCAAGGGCGGATAACTTGAAAACGTGCCCCCCCCCCCCCGCCATAGATTAACCCAGGTGTTAGTGCAGTAGAACGGAATGAAACCACTGGGGATACCGAGGGTGATTGATGATTTAATCCAAAAATAGATAACTAAGACTATGTTTCTTTTTATCGTACCGACTTTAGTAATGATGATCGAGGCTTGGCCTAAATTTCAAACGCTAATATATCGGTGGAAAGGCATATTTTGGCGTATGTCTGGGGTAATTACCTGGAGGTCACTTTGCTAAAACTATGAATCTGAGATTTAATACAGCATAAATATGACATACCAAATACATGCACTTCGCTTTAGTTTTACTGATGTAGCCTAATAATAATCAGATGTACACGATTTTTACAGGAAATTTTAAGCGAGCAAACGAAACGACGACGAAAGTTTTTTAATAATCGGAAACCATTCAACCTGCTTAGAGCAATTGATAATCGCGAGCATGATCACGGGCGGCAGGAGTCTCAAACGGAACGAGGACGTGGGCCTACGAGCTGGAGATCCAAGGCGCGGATCGAGGCCCGGGCGGGTGGCTTATATATGTTTTTAATAAAAAAAAAAAAGAAAAAAAAAAGGAAAATGAACTGTCAAAATCCGATTCTATCTGATCTATTCCTTCTATCCATGCCACTATATATATAGGTACCCACATTCAGAAAAGTCACCGGTTTTCTTCTCTACTTAAGGGGTCAAACGGGGTATATTTTTTTTATTAATTATAAATAGGAACCAACAAATCTGTTTTTAAAATTTCTCGAAATGTACGGCCGACCCTCTCTACTAGTACTATCTCCGGATCTCGAGATCACGGGCCCTGGAGCTAAAACACTCAATCTATAGCAACTTAATTGACATCAATTGATCTTCTTCTTGTATTAGTGTTTAACACCCGCTTTTCACCGAGGTGATATCGAAGAAAAGTTGTCTTATAAATTTTCGTTATCTCACGCGCAGCTAGGGGTCTTTCCTGTGTGTGTGTGTGGGGGGGGGGGGGGTGTACCCGGAGTAAACCCACGAGGTTGAGAAGGCGAGATTATCTCCAAGCCACATACGCTCACTAGAGATCGAAACCATGACCACAAGACTAAGGTGACCGGCCAGCTACAGCTCGAAGCGCGACACCCTAGACCACTCATAATTAATAATATTGCCATTATTGGCCAATGAATTCCCGTCACACTCACACTCACCGTGTAAACGGTTATGATCATGGTATATAGTACCACGATGAAGTAATGATTGCACTTCTTGTAGGGAGAAAATAGAGTATATACATCAGTGACGATTATTTAATTCTACTGACAAATAAAACAAAATTACAAAAAATAAATAAATTAAAATCAGAATTCTTGTGTATATCGACATCGTCAGCTGGTATGATTGTCTAAAGTCTCGGTAATTTTGATTGGTCCGTTGCACCCGATTGGATACAAAAAGTTGTCAAACATCTGATAAATAAATACTAAACAGCATCAAAATCAATACCGTTGATCAGTTTTTAATTATGAGATCATATAGATAAGCGGGGTACCTTAATACCTTGTGGTATTACGCAATATTTATTAAAAGTCTGACACGGAAGGGCCTTGACCCGTGTTTGATCTATGACCTTCTAAAATATTAACCAACCAAATCGACGATTACAAATAAGGTTGAGAGTGAGAATTCATGTTATTATTTTTCTTTTGTTCATCCTGTCATTTCATCGATGAAATCAGGATTAAATATTAGTTTGATGGCTTAAAAAACATGAATAATCACAACCATTTTAATCACCACGTCAGGGCAAGATCAGAGGTATGTATTATGATGGTACTGAGGCAATGCAGACCAGCAAATGGCTTTGTTATGATTACACTGTTTTGGTATTTTTACCCTTGCAATGTTGAGTCGCTGCCTTCTTTCTTCGACAAAAGAGCCATGGTGTTTTGTTACGGTTAAACGCAAACCCCATTGTCTGTGTCTATTAAACGCGTACGATTTTCTGGTGGTAAGGGAACTGATTTAAGGGAGGCATAAATGCATAGACAAAAGCATTTTCTTTATTTTTTATTTCCCGAATAGGCCTATTTCTTAATCAATCGTCGTGAACCCCCCACTGCATGGCCTCAGGCTGAGCATGGGATGTTTACAAACAATAATGATTAACAAGCTTAGATTTACTAAGTCTAGTACCCCATTAGCTGTTAAAATTGCAATCATAGATTGGTGTAATCTGGTTTACAATTGATTATTATATAATTAGCTGAGTGAAGGGATTATTGTCGATCACTCTAGCCCCCTTCAGCGAGTAGGCCCATCATCATGTCTCATTGAAGGCTTATAGATATGTAGCGTCCCAGCTCCCCCACCCTCTTCTAGTACGAAAACCTAGTTACTCAAAAATTTATATATTAAGTCGTTTGACGATTGTTAAGAAAGTGTGATATAAATTCATCTTCTGATACGGTAGCCTTGTTCTGATTCAAAGAATACCATGAAACTGTACTAATTTATTTATGGCATTATAGGCCTACATGTATTTATATCATATTTGTTGTATTCCATATTTTTTCTGCACCACGAATCTAGGTCTGGATTTCCAGTTGCAAAGATCACATGCTAAAAACCCTTTAAACCACCAGCAAAAAAAATAACATTCACCCAATGATGTTATATGATGTGACATTAAAAAAAAAACATATTGTAATAAATAATGCAGCCTCTCATATTCGAATGAGCAGAAGAAATAGATGTCCAAAAAAGAATAATTAAGTGATAATTTGTAAATCAATTATCACTTTATTGTAACAACTGATGTACATGGAGAATAGTAACATTGACAAAATTGGTCAAATTAGTTAATACAGGAAGTAATCAAAACAGACAGGCTGCTTACCATATCTGAGTTACATTACAAATTGGAGAGCAATGGTGTTTGAAGTGAATATGTGCTATGATGTGATACGCTTGCTTTCCTTTTCGATTCCATGCTTGTACACGACAAGAAAATTAATGAAATGAAATGTGGCTTAAAATTCTATTTTCTGCATTGACTGGGCTAATGAAGACTGGCGTACGGTGTGCTATGAGGAAAATTTTGCCCAGGCAGCGGCACTATAGCCTACTTATATATCGAATTCCACATGTCAAGGGTTCTTGTACATGTACGTGTAAACAGGACCTTGGTTTTTATCCAATACGAACAAATAGACGCTATTCTTGCCAGGCCCTCCAGCCTGCACCACTGACAAGATCAAACCATGTAGGAAATCCAGGGAACTTTCCCGACCAAGGCTAGGATTGAACCCTACTTACTGAGCCAGCGAGGCTCCCACGTGACACCGAATATGGTCTCTTTTTTTCATCTCACCACCAAAGCCCCTTAAACACAAGGTTGTGCAGAGAAGACATTCACTCCTCCCCCCCCCCCCCCTCTGTCTCGCTCTCTTTCCCTTGCTTTTCAATGGATTTAATTATCCAATCATTTAATTGACTGTCTAAAGGTCAAAATGACATTTAGTTTTTAAAGCTTTCATTTCACTGCTAAAACTATAAGCTGACTTTTTTTTCTACCATTGAATGAAATTCAAGCTTTCAACCACGCACAATGCTCATTTCACTGAGCTCATTCATTGCAGCAATCACTGTGCTCATTAACAAATTAATACCATTTTTGGACTGATATTCATATTAGAAATTCAACTTTTACAATATTGCAAGGAATTCACAAACCGCTCAGGTCACTCTCAGAGACTTTGATAGTGATTTTCATTGTGACTTAAATGGAAAAAAAAACAATTTCTTTTTAACAAATGAAATAGTATCTGAGGAAATGTAATGAAATACTGTAAGTTGTTCTCACTGGTCTTTTTGTACTGTTACTCACTGAAACATATGCAATTTATTTCCCTCTTCAGATACAAAAAACCTTCATCCCATTAAGCCTCTTACAGAACCAACAAACCAACAGTAGGATTGAAGTTTTGTATCATTTTTGCATTGGTCATACCTTTTACTTCATACATGTATTTTGAAGCAAGAGCCTCAACAAGAATTTTTTTTTTTTTTTTTAAACAATATTTTTATTCATTAAATCTGAATTTGGATTGGGGAACAGGCTATGCCTATGTGTAACCTGTTCCCCCAATCCAAATTCAGATTTAATGAATAAAAATATTGTGATCATTGTCAAGTTCCCAATCTAGTTAATCAAAATTTGATAGAGTTTAAGTTTCTCAAGGATAAAACTATTAAAAGAACCATTGACAATCATTGCACAATTTATTTGCACAACTGCCAGACTTTTCAAAAGAGACAGACTTTTATTATAAATTCAGCACCTACATCGATCGTACATGTATCAAAATTTGTCCAGCTTCAAATTAATTTCTGTTAAAGGATGAAGTGATATTACAAATGCGACAAAATTTCTTGACATTCTGAAGTTATTGAAATCATAAAAAAGAAGAAGAATAATAGATTTGTTATTCTTTTTTAAACACACACATTTAAACATACATTATGCAAGAGCTAAATCTGCCTATTGCAGGTCTTTCTTTAGGCCTGAAATGTTTTCTAAATTATTAATTAGACATTAATTAAACATGCATTATGCAAGAGCTAAATCTGATTATTGCAAGTCTTAATTTAGGCTTCAGATTTATAGAAATTATAAATTAGATCTTTATTTAAACAACAATACCAAAATTAACTCTGTAGACTCACGGATGGCTCAGCTACAGCTCGGATTTAAATAAGATTTCACTAATTAATTAAATCAGATAAGGGGTAACCTGATGAAAATACGTCATTTAGATCGAGGCTAAATAATAGAGTGTACTTAGCGAGGCCGCTGTAAAGCGTTTCCGTATGCCATTGAAAACTTTACTTGATAATCGAGATATGTAGGTGGTGTTAACGCCTGTCAATCAAATGTTCAGCGAAGGTGAAGACACATTTCGCTACCATTTCTAGGCAAATATTACTACGATGATAACTATGTTCAGAATAAAGTAATTTGACTGAATTTTTCAATATATTCTTCTTTCATCATCTACTTTTGAACTGTTATAGCAAGAATGGCCAACTCTCTATAAATATCTCCCATAATGTATCTTTAACTGATCCAGGCCATAATCAATTCACGATGGCATCAGATTTTTCCTATATTAAATAGATTAGAACGGTTAAACCATATTTTGATTTAATATAAAAATGGAGGAACGAGACTTAGCTTCGAACAACCAGTAAGGTGGTTGCAATTATTGCACACATCTTGTCAAACCTTTAATGGCTAATATCTTCACTCGCAATGGAGCAATTTGAATGAAATTTTCAAATTATTCATTATACCTTATCTATTTTCGAACTATTATAGCAAGAATGGCTAGCTCTTTATCTAAATCTTACATAATGTATCTTTAAATGTTGTATATTGTTGTCAGCCCTACATTTACTTCTCTGGGCAGTGAGGTGGCATCCCACGTGCAATCATCTTGTGGACGCTCTAGTTAAATGCCTTCGTTAAAGATGCATTATGTAAGATTTAGATAAAGAGCTGTTCTTGCTATAGTTCAAAAATAGGTAATGAAAAATATATATATGGAAACATTCAGTCAAATTACTTTATTCTGAACTAAGTTATGACAATATATAGCATAAATAGTCTTGATTGCCAAGCATCATGGATTATGGGTACTTACATGTATTAATCTTGTCTTGTAATTTTATATAACGAATAATGTTTTTTGTTTGTTTTGGGGTTTTTTCAAGGTTAATCACACTGTGTATGAAGATGATGCTCCTATTAATAAAAAGCTACCAAAGGAACTCTTACTAAGGTATGTTATCATAACATAGAAAATGTGTTCGAATTTTAATGAGGCATTAGCACTTTGCAGACCTTTTTTGCTGACTGAAAATATTATTTTCTATAATTCAACGCAATTTAAATACAAAATTACACTGGGTATGTTTAAATTGGATTGTATGCAAAATTAGAGACAAATCTGTCAGCTCCTAGCTGAGATATATAAATAAACTGACAAATTTTAATTTTCAACTTAAAGAGTCATTCAAATCTTTTAGTGCTTTTCAACAAGTGCAAGGGATTTCAGCAACATTTGAATCTACAGTTGATTTGGATAAGACATTTTTCCAAATTAATTATATTTTTTTACATGAGAGGGCTAATGAAATCATATAATGAAAGCTTACATTTTACATATCTATGTGTCTTATGTAACATATTATCAGAGGTGTAATTTGTTGTTAAAAATCGATAAACATAAGTCAATACATTGTATAATACATGTATATACTAGAACCTTTAAAACCTTACATGAAGAGTTACCTAGAAATGGATGTAACAGGTAAATCAAATACAATTGGAAAACAGTTGATGAAAGTGAGCTGCAAACTACTCAGTTCATATTTTTCACCTTTCAACACTGTAATATATAGTTTGCACCCATCAAGCTTTGAAGGATTATTATCACTTTCAAGGAATTAATTATTAATCATCTGAAATATTACCTTATTCAAAATAACTTTAGGCAAAACTAATTATAGAACATGAACTGAAGTAACAAATTATGCATAAATACATTAAATCTTCTGGTCGCCACTTTATCATTGTGACAATATTTAATTTTTGATGGTTTAATGCATGCTAAAATGATCTCAAATTGATTAGTTAATATTTAATTAGGAACAAAATCAAAATATCAATGGTAGATAATATTTTCAGAGGATGCCCAATGTTGAATATTTTCATAGGCCCACATTTTCATGTGGATGTGGATGTATATATATTGTAGTTGCCCCTGTCCGCCCCGATGTCAGTCCACTATTTGCTTGTGGACACACTCTGCAGGTCACAATTTTTATCTGATTTTAATAGAACTTGAAATTGGCATGTATCGGCCCCTGATTTTTGAAAATTCACGATTTTAGCTTGTGGACACTCTAGAGGTCACAATTTTTACCCGATATAGATGAAACTTGAAATGTATGTTTAAAACCCAAAGATAACGGTTCTTTTTGATATTCCCACATATTGGACGGTAAATTCCATGATTTTATTTTGACCTCGCAAATCTTAAAACATAAATCCTGTTTATAAACTTACTATGAAAACTAGCAGAGATTTTTACTCCGTAAATATTACATGGGAATATTAATAATATATGGATATGGAACTTCTTGGGTATTGATAATTATTTTACTGTAGTTTGCGAACATGTACAAAATTCACTGGAAGACTATTTTGTAACTATGCTGGAATATGTTTCATCAAAATATGATAAATTTACCATGTCCGTCTTCGAGATATTGTTGAACCTTCAGTCATGGGGTTGAACCACGATATCAAACATTTTGGATTGCCCGACAGGCATGGCCATGTCAATATTTGTGTTCCTGTAGTTTTTTTCCGGTTATGAATTTATATCTGTTAGGTGTTAGATTTCAAATTATAGAGCTGCTCTCACTACATTATCTTTATGTCTGGGAATGGAATTCCGAGACTACGGCCACTGAAGCAAGCTAAAGTGACAGACATAACAACAGCTTATTTATAGCTATAGGTATCTCCCGGTGAATACAAAGTTTTAAAAGGTTTTTGAAGCAAATTTTTGATAGATTGGTTTGAATATGTTTTTAGTCAAAATATTTCATCAAATCACACAGTTTGTATGCAGGAAAGTATTTTTAAAACATATGTTTATATCGAAAAGATCTTGGTTCCTATTGATATTCGTTCATATTGGACCGTAACTTCCTGGATTATGGCCCCTAATTGTGTAAGAAATCGCTTTTTTTTTTAACTTGTTCTCATACCAACTCTTGCAAAATGTCGGTGTGTCTTGCATGGCAACCACTTAATTTTTTCAGATATCAGTATCTTCAATTACCGGATATGTCATCCTATAATAGGATGTTGGTACATCTCTTGCAAAATGTGGAAGTATCTTGTATGGCAATTGCTTGTTTAATTGATCATATCATCTTTATATTTATATGTTAGTTTTTCAAGATTCATCTTTCACAATTTTGTAGTTTGTAAGGAATTAAAAATCCCTCAAATAATTAACTGAATTTACTTATTGTGAGCTTACAAATATAATATTTGATGAAAATAAGTTTAGAGGATTGAACAGAAGACCCAATTATATGAGAAAACAACTTTTAGTTTCCTAATAGCAAAAGCAAACACAGGAAGGCTGTGCTATGTACAAAACCCCCTGCAATAACCTCACAAACAAATGGATGAAAAACAGACATAACAAACAAAATAAGTAAATGATCAGAGAACTATGTACATGTATCAAACCCAATGATTTGAGCTAGAAGGTATTGAATATTATCCATGCGTTGTGTATCAGGGAATGATAACTTGAAAGTGATTTCATTTTTATTTTTCAGAATTTTTTCCTTCTTAGATGTTGTGTCACTGTGTAGGTGCGCTCAAGTATCCAAGGTAACTATATAATTATGTACCAGTTATATTTTTGATCAGAACTTTTATTTCCATCCTGGCAGTGTGCCATGATACAGAATTTATGATGCAAGATTTTCTGTCCATAAATTCTCAGTGATTCATGTGAAAACTATTTTTTTTTTACAAAAAAAAATGAAATGATTATCATTGAGTCATCGCTTTATTTAAAAACATTTCAAGCCTGAATAAAAGGATTATTGAGGTGGCCTGATGTGGAAGGACACATTATTATTCAATTTGTCGATTGAGTGGTTCTTAGATATTTAATGTGTACCAACAGACCTTATTTGTACTTTTAGTTTTGGAATATCTTGGCATTAGATGGAAGCAATTGGCAGAGGGTGGATCTATTTGACTTTCAAAAGGATGTTGAGGTAGGCAATACAATATGCAATATGCAGTAAGTTGCAGGAAATATCTTATCAGTGGTTGAAATTATTGAAAAAGAATTGAGATAAATGAACAGTCACAGATTTCACATGGTAAATGTCAGTAAACTGCATTTAAAAATGTATTATGTAAGATTTAGATAAAGAGCTGACAGTTCTCACTACCGTTAAAGTTTAAAAAATCATTAATGAAAAATGAATATTTTGAAAATTTTAGTCAAAGTTACTTAATTCTGAGTAAAGTTATGGCTGTTTGGAAAATAGTGGAGTCTCGATTAAGATATCAGTCAAGGTCTTGATTATCCATTCTATGTCACTGTGTGATTCTAAATAAGTTTTCTGGGGAACAATAATTTCTAGTCTAAAGGCTGTTTATTGTTGATTTATTTTTTTATTAGGGTCCTGTTGTGGTGAACATATCAGAGAGATGTGGAGGATTTCTCAAGTCACTGAGTTTACGTGGCTGTCAGTCTATAACAGACAAAGCATTACAGTATGTACATTTCATATGTTTAAGTTTTGATAAACTATGATATTTTTTTTAGATACAGTAATTTTTTTTTAAGCTGACATTTATTTTCCTATTTCTATAAAGAATGTATTAAAATTGTTAATTATTTTATGTTTTAGGATATTTGCAGAATCTTGTAGAAATATTGAAGTACTTAATTTAAACAATTGTAAGAAAATCTCAGACTTGTAAGTATATTAATCACAAGAAACTTGAGATAAATTGTTATAAAATTCACCTTTTTCAGTTGATGTATCTAGTTTTCAATAAGTTCAAAACTTAAAGATGTATTATGTAAGATTTAGATAAAGAGTTCTTGCTATAATAGTTCAAAAATAGATATAGAAAACTTAATACTTTCATTCAAATAACTTTATTGTGAACAAAGTTATGGGTGTTTGTCACTTGGACAAGATCCTAGTGTAGATTGTTTATTAAGTCTAAGTCTAGATTATCCATTTTACCGTTGAATTTTGGTGTTATAATCCATTTGAATCTCGGCCATCCAATGGTCTAGAGAGTTGATTATGGGCTTGTCATGTAAGTAAAAATGTCTAAAAAATAATAGTTTATATAACATTTAAAGTCGAAGTAAAGAACTGCAATAGGCACATTTATCTCTCACATAATGCATCTTTAAAAGCAATATATTCAGTGTTACATTTTCATTTTCTGTTTTAAACTGAAACTTTGGAAATTTTAAAACTAGTTAATTCAACAAAAATGTTGCCAGATGGATGTGCATCAAACAATACTGTAGAGTTTATTTGATTCATTTCTTAATATGTTTTTTACAGAACATGTGAAAGTTTAGGACATTACAGTAAGAAACTACTAGTGCTAGATTTAAGTTCTTGTTCAGAAGTAACAAATAATTCATTGAAGGCACTCAGGTCGGTTATTTGAACCAGTTCTTTTTTATTTGCAGGAATAAGAATTGTAATTACATCCTGATCTCATTTGGAGACGTAATGAAATTTAGATATATTAATTTTAACCTTCAGCAGTAGTCCTTTGATAGATTATTAATTCAAATATTTTAATTATAACATTCAGTAGCCAGGCTAATGGAGATGGGCTTGCATGTTTTGAATACATATACTCTGGTTTGAAATTAAACCATAACAGATGTTGACAATATTCAATTTGTTTGAATATTTTTATAATTATTTTAGTGAGGGGTGTAAATTATTAACCTATCTAGACATATCATGGTGTACAGAAATATCTAATGGTGGTGTGGAAGCCTTGGCTAAGGGTTGTCCTAAACTCTCAACATTTATCAGTCAAGGTTGTCAACAGGTAGGTTAGGATTTCTGTTGTTTATCTTATCACCATCGTCTTGGTAGTATATTGTGGAATGAAATTATTATGAAGTTTTGGGTTGTTTGCTTGATTGATGTCTGAGTGGTCGTATGAGTGCTCTTCAGATGATGAGGTATGTCATCAATGCAGAGTTGTGGTTTTCTGCTTAAATTAGCGGGATTTCTCTGGTTTCCTCTCTCTGCTAATTAAGATATACCATATGTTACTCCAACAAACTAGTTGGTGTTGTGTAGACCCCATTTTTCCCTCGGGGTGGGTGGGGGGGGTGGTGGATGGCTGAATGGTTAGCGCGTGCGCGCTGTATCATAAAGTCTGTCATTGAGTCGACTGGCGTGGTTTCGAATCCCCGGTTGTACGTGACAAGGAGTAGGGTCGCCTGTCCAACCTCGTGGGTTTTCTCCGGGTCCTCCGGTTTCCTCCTACTGCTAAAGACCCCTACTTGCAAGCGAATTATTGAAATAAAATTAAACCATATGTTAGTCCCGAAATGACCTAGTTTGTGTCAAGTGGACGTTAAACCCCATTTCTCTCTCTCATTTTTCCCTCTGTGACTATTCATCAATGATCAAGATCACCAACTACATACATTGTGTATTAAAGGTGAAATGTTCTGCTTATTTTAGTATTAGAAAATGATTGATATATAAAGAATCTGAAGTAGTTGTCTACATCTTTAAAGTTATTTACAACTTAACACATATAGGTCTTGTTCTTCCTTAACACTTATTAGATTTTTACTTCTTTTATTTGTTGGGGCAAAAACAATAATTTAAAACCAATAAATACTTGGTAACTCTTCTAACATCTTTCAGTTACAAATGTTAAGTGTTATTTTATTTATCAAAACTCCAAAAACTAAAAATTAATTTGGTTTACCCTGTTTGTTTACTATGATAATGAGGACTTTTAACTACATGTACATGTTTGAGATAGGATATCATTAAAAATGAGTTATGTGTCTTTATGTTTACAATGTTTTTGATATGTTAGATAACAGATGCAGGTATAGTAGCATTAGCTGAAAACTGTGACAACTTAAAAAGATTGAAACTACTAGGATGTCAAGTAAGAAAACAATAAATTATATATTGGTACGATAAAAAGTAACTATTCTATTTTAGGCTAGTATTATGCACAGGGCTCAATATACCTGCCATATACTGACACTTGTTACTTTTTTTCATTACAGCTAAATGTGATATATTGATTTGATTAGTTTAAACAGTTAAAACAAAGTTAACACAACTCTAAACAATGTAGTAGATTCTGTTTTATGAAGAGTCCTGATTTTCTTATGAATATCATTTGCTTTCTTCTATTTCAGCAAATAACTGATGATTGTTTGAGTATAGTAGGACAAAAATGTCATAATTTAAATAATGTTTGTGTGTCAAATTGTCCGCGATTAACAGATACTACACTAGTGGCGCTTGGCGCCGGATGTGTTGACCTTAAGTAAGTCAAAATATTTAGTTCTCTATTCTATTTAAATATTTCAGATCAGTGCATTAATAAGTTACGACTTAATTTAATATACTCATTCTATTATCCATGATTTGCTTTTAGTTAGTTATTGGGGTGGGTGACATGGTTGAACAAGTGAATTTAAATCATGAGGTCAGTCATTGAGTCAAGTGGTGTGGTTTCGATCCCACACTATTTAAATACTATGTACCATGTGTTGGTCCCAAGTTGACCTAATTTATATTGGGTGGATGTTAAACCCAATTTCTTTCTCTCTCTAGTCAGTTAAGCTAATGTTTTAGGTAAATGTTATATAATAGTTATTTTATTGAGTTATTAATTATTTAAAGAGTATTGGAAGTAGCTGGTTGTACTCATTTAACAGATAATGGATTCCAAACTTTAGCTAGAGTAAGTGAGGATTTATTTGAATAAAAACAAATATAATGTATAGTATGTATTTAAAAAAAAAAGAGAAAATCTTGGACACAAGTGTGCAAATTTTTGTTTTTCCCTTCCCATACCAAACAATCCTTCCATCCCTGTTTTGCTTTCAAAGCATATCTCATAAATCGTTCAAGATAAATCGGATTTAATCATTTTTTAGTTCCCATGGAAACAAATTTTACTTAGTTTTTGGTATGCAAGGCAGCAGTATGTTGCATTGTTCTTAAAATATGATGATATATAGTATAACTGGGTATTAAGTATAAATTAACACAAGTAGAAAGTTATTAGCACACGATTTGTGTTAATCTAGGTGATATGTTATCTAGATAAGTATATAAAAAAAGTCATTTGAATTCATGATTTTACACTCTTTTAAAAGGTCAGATCTATTTACCAAGGCCACCTGCAGATTTTCTCAAAGTCACAAGGTGTAAACAGCGTTAAGGTACGTGATTGTTGCCGAGGATTGTGGTTAGGGTTAGCGCTAGCGCTACACCTGTTTACATCTTGTGACCTTGAGGAAATCTTAAATGTTGGTCCAACATATAACATGTATTTTAATACGTACACATTGATATATTTTTAGACGTGCACAAAATTAGAAAAGATGGATCTGGAAGAATGCATACAGGTATATATTTGTATTTTAGTTTTGTTATGACTTAATAACTTATGACTTCCTGAATTTAAAGGAGATAGCTGGATCATTATCAGTTACCAGTGATGTTATTTTACTTGCAGTGACGGAGTGAGTTAAACCGTGACTCATAATTCTGGAAAAATTCAACAGTAATGTTAGCTCACCTTTCTCTGTATGGTAACACAGATAATGTATTCAAATTCTTCACCTTTTGTGGAAGCTAGATTTTTAATGCTATAATAGTTTCATAGTTCTTTAAAATTGAACTATCATTTAAAGCCAAATGTGCAATTCACATGATATTTTTGTTTTGTAGATTACTGATTCTACACTTGCTCATCTAGCAACTTATTGTACTAAACTCTCAAACCTTGTAAGTACGATTTTTCTATTTTTAAAGTCAACAAATGTATGTGAAGAATATTAAAGAGGCTTTATCATTTTGAACAAAATTTGAATATGTTCAACATATCCTAAATTTGACCAATGGTAATTTTCGATAAACAGATCTTCTTCTAGTGAGAGCCATTCTATAAAAACAACTATGAAATATGTGTGCATAAAGCCGTTGATATGTCAACAATGGATTAACATAAATTTCTCAACTTTTGCACACAAACTTTGAAGTGTTAAGTTTCTAATCAAAGTGTTTTTACCTATTGAAGATGATGTCCAAAGTGAAGTTACTCTTTAAGTCAGGTTTTGTCACTTTTACTACCATTTAAATATATTTAATGCTCTGGTTAAACCGGATTTAAATTGGTTGTGAGTGCACTATTTTTGATTGTTGAACACACAAAAGTCTGGTAACCATTTATAATTTTATGCATATATTCACCATCTAGCAAGTCTTATTATGTTAATTTGTAGGAAAAGGAATCCGGGGATTATTGGAAAGGATTCCTCTTCTTGACTATCCAATGATCCCTTTATATTCAGATATTAACTCTAATAATGGGAAAACATTTAATCAATATATTTTCAGAGTCTTTCTCATTGTGAGCTAATAACAGATGAAGGTATTAGACATATAGGATCTGGAGCATGTTCTACGGAATATTTACAAGTACTAGAACTAGATAATTGTCCCTTGATAACTGATGCCTCACTAGATCATTTAATGGGATGTCAGGGATTAGAACGTATAGAATTATATGATTGCCAATTAATAACTAGAGCTGGAATACGCAGATTAAGGGTAAGTCTTATAAATTTTAAAAAAAACTATAAGATGTGTGGCTACAGGATTTTCAGATTGATTTTTAGATACTTGTTGCTCCACCGCAGTTGTGAAGAACTTCAGGGATATTCCAACTGCTGCAAGGATAGACCAATAAGCCAACTGTGTAGAAATTGGTATAAATAGAAAAATTGCTGGGAATTAATGAAAGTGAATAGCAAAATTATTCCATACATTGCTTCTGCTTAGATTTGACAGAATGAAGCTACAGAAAACATTTTGTATTTCTCAAATGACCTGATAGTAGCTAATATGTTAAACCACATGAGAAACCTCAAAAATAGCATTTCATTGTCACAGCAACTGAATGTTATGTCAGAACTATATACGAGATCTTAGAATTCTGAACATTTCTATGACACTTTTGTTAGTCTACTTTTAAGGGCATTGCTATGTCTAAGATTTGCACTCACTTTCCAAACTATTTCTTGGTGATACTTTAGTACCTGTCTCCTGTACTCCTAAAAACATAAATCGTCAACAGAAAGAAACATTCACTTTGTCGGATAAGTAAACCAAGGGAAACAATGACGAAAACCTAAGTGCTACTCAACAGATTTTAACAAAGTTGGTGTCAAATTGAAGCTTACATTTGGAAGAACATTGCTACGGGACAGATTATGATTATATGAAATAGATTTTATTTTAGACCAGTTTACATAACAACCTGTGAAATTTTTGGATTTTCAGGAATTTTGGCATTAATAATGGCACCATGAAAAAACATGTCCCGCATTTTATAGAGGTCTAGCTTAGCTATTTTTCATGCCAAAAATCATTTAATTCGGATCAGGCAAGACTGAGAATTTCCGAAGTTACTATGTTAGACATGGCAATGCCCTTAACACCATTCCTGGTATCTTCAGAATGTTTATATCTGTAAAAGTCATTCATTTTGAGAGCACTTTTCACACTTTGAAATTTGAAAGATTTCATACTTTGTTATTTGAAATGTAAGAAACAACTGAATACAACAAATTATGAATTAATGGACATGGCAAACTGGATACATGTGAAAAACAATGTGGAAATCTTGATGCTGGTGCTGGACTATTAAAATGGGTCTTTCCGTCCGATCGTCTGTCCGTCACACTTTTGGGGATACAATAACTCTCCTAATTGAGGTAGATTGTTCATGCTTGATGTAGGTGTTTATTAGGTGAATGCCTTGATGGAGCTCGAAGATGAGCCTTTTCTGCTTAGGTTAAGCAGAGATAAGCAATTTGATTGGCTGATGATTTGAGACATACTAACTTTGGTTCTAATTAAGTAAGAGTGATGAAACTTAGTGTATAGTTTCATGGCATGTTCGATAATGAGCATTTTCTGCTCAGGATCATCATAAGCAGAGCGATAAGCAATTTGATTGGTTGAGACTTTGAAACCCAATAACTTTGATTCTAATTGAGTGAGAGTGGTGAAGCATTTTCTGCTTAGGCTGAGTAGAGACTTCAATCTGATTGGTCGAGACTTTGCAACACAACATCTCTCCTTCTGAGGTATAATGTTCAAACTTGGTATAAGTGTTGATTAGGTGAATGCCTTGACAGAGTTCAATGATTAACATTTTCTGCTAAAGCTAAGGTCAGCTAAGCAATTTCATTAGTCAATGCTTTGGGACAAGATAACTTTGATTCTAACTTATGGAGAGTGATGAAACGTAGAGTTTCACTACCAGGTACTTCGAAACCTTGACTGAGGTCGATCATGAACATTTTAGGCTTAGACTAAGTATAGATAATCAGTTTGAGTGCTCGATGCTTTTCAAATAAATACATGAGCATTAAATTGATATGTGTCATCTATTTATTTTGATATTTCGGCGGGGTACATAAGCCTCGCAGTTGGCTTGATCTTTTAAAGGAATGTCAAAACGTTACTTGATTCTATTGCAGCATCTCAAACTTTAATATTTGTGTTTGAATAAACAGTAGTTTTATTTTTTATGTATGTTTAAATATTTACTGAAAATAATTTCTTTATTTTTAGTCTCACCTACCAGATATCCGAGTTCATGCATATTTTGCTCCTGTAACACCACCGCCTTCTGTTGGTGGAGGTCGGCAACGATATTGCAAATGTTGCGCTATTCTTTGACGAAAAGTACTGGCAGCGGAGTATTCGCTGTTCAAATTCCACATTGCTTCAGCCATTCTTGGAATTGGTAACTTGTTTTGCCAACACATTGGACCAAACATTACAGTGTGAACTCTCCATTTGTGCTTTCTTCGTGATTATTTTCTTTTCTCATGTCAGCTATGAAGATCAGACCTCCCCTGGTGGCACAGTTTGTGGTTAGAGTTCTACTGTATACCTACACCTGTAGAACGTAAAACAATGTTTGTCCAATGATTGCAGTGATTTTGAGTTATTTATTCAAATTATGTGGTGACGTTAAATTAAGACTGTTAGAAAATTCATTTAATTTTGTAAGTCGAATGAAAAGTTGTTGATATATACGTGTATATATTTTAAAAAAAAGAATGACTATTATTATTAGCATGAATACAATTTTTGGAATTTTGTTATGGAATTGATAAGAAGTTGTTACAATGATAAAGTAGAAAAGAATAACATAGATTATAAATATGGATAAAGTCTGTGATAAAAGGAATAAATAAAATATTCTCTCCACAATTGAAGACAGAAACACAAAGTAGAATTACCAAAAGCTGTTTTAGTAGATTTTTTTTTATATTCTAGTTCATTCCTTATTTTCGACAAAATTATTTTATATGGGATAAATTAATTTAATTGTTTTATTTAAACAAACAGTTTTTGAGCAATAATATTTCACTGGTCTATATCTCAAAAAAGTAAATCAAGATCAATTTTATGAATTTGCAATCTTTATTTGAATTGGAATTTTATTTTAGATTTTAAATCATTTTAAGCATCAAAGAAATGGTCTCTGGAAAACTGAAACACCTAATCGTAATCAGTTTTATACTTTATGACTCTCTTAATTAAAACTAATCCAGAACTTTCTGCTCGATGCCATTGTAACATTTCATTGTTTAAGTATGCCACAGACCTATTTTGTCAGGAATTTAAATTTGATTTTTATCCTGAAAGTGTGTTGGCATTTATCCCTTTTTAACCTGTAAATGTTATTTTTCCATAGACATTATATGGTTAGATTAATCAGGAAATATGTACTATGTTCAGGCTATTTGATATGGTACATGTACATATTTGATTATGTGATCAATCAAAGGGTTAATAAACCTTGGTCCTGTTGCATGGTTACAGAACATGAATATTCAATAGCGCTCTTTGGTTGATTTACATATGGGCATAAAGTGTGTGTATGCTTTCTGCATCAGTGATCTTGTAGAATTTAAAAAAATTAGGAATAGCAAATTGTTTTATTGTCTAAAGAAATAGATGTAACAAGGTGTAGTTTAACTACATTTTATATACCCCATGTTGTGTGCAGAAAACATAACTGTCTCTTTATGTTTAGTTGGTTTTTAAAAAAAATGGGGATTCAACCCTACATGTAGGTGGACCATGCATAGAACATGGGCTATATAGAATCTAGTTGTACTGTAAGTGAAATTTATATCATGGATTTATTATATCTCATTTTTTAAAAAAAAATTCCAGAATGAAAAAAATCTCTGGATTTGTTAAGTTATTTGTTATGGGTGAATCTTCGTTTGTTTGAAATTTTAAAAGAAAACAACAGGAGTTTTCCGAGTTATGAATGTACTGCACTTCAGAAATCTTTAATCTGATAAACGTGTTCCGAGTTATGGATGATTTGTTTTGAATTATTTATCTATATAATCAGATATATATGTTGATGCATGGTTTTTGTTCATATGTAGGACAAAAGAGATAGATTGTGCAATTTTGACTGGACTTCTTTTTAACGCACTTAAAGTGCAACATATTTCATCTCGAAAAAGAATAATTTTTTTTATTTCTTTTGATACATCAATACATAGTTATGTATTTGTGATGTGGACTGACGGACATAAATAGTAAAAACTATTGTGAGAAAAAAAATTGTGTTCATGGCCACAATGTGACTGTAGATATTTTTTATTTTCATGGAAGCTTATATTAATATTAATTGGATTGTAATGCACATTCCTGGGAGCAAAAGTCATATAGACTTTAAATAATTACAGAATGATTAAATTCTTATACAGGAGTATGTAACAACCTGGACTTTAGCCATTTATTTATTAACATTGAATTAAGAATAAGTTTTGTATTAAAAATATATAATTTATAAATTGTATGTACCACAGCGCCTACTAATTGTCTGCCATCATTTCATCATGGCTATCCTTTTAATATCAACTTTATATACATCTTGTAAGTCTTTTATATCTTTTTAGCCGTCTGTCATTGGTATAAAGATAACTCTATTTATAGGCTACTCAAGGCTTTTACTTTGTGTGTTTTTTGTTTTCATTAGCTTGTTTATTATTTAATGTATGGTAGTTAATATGTTACACTGTGATATAGTTAAAATATGATATTATTTTGCGATGTTTGTTTAGTTATGTAGTCACTTTAGCAAATAATTTACTTGTAAAGTTCATTTCATTACGGCAATGTTTGCAAAGCTGGTCTTAGCAGACCTTTTTGATTATCCAGTTTGGCCATATATTCATACATTATTATGAAACGCTGTAGCTGTCTTATGTTGAGCCGTTTTGGGATGTCTTGTTAACCGAGTGTTTTGTCAAATGAGTGTTTTGTCTTGTTAACCGAGTGTCTGGTCTTGTTAAAATGGCATTGTATCTTCGCAAATTACCATATCTTCCTCCCAAACTATCATATCTTTTTAAGTGTTATGCTATCTTGTGGTATCTTCTTGGTCATAATTTATATCATGATAAACTTACATGCTGTCTTGTCTAAATCTTCTTAAATGGAAATGCTATGTTGTACAAATACTGTGTTAAGTTCTTTAAATGGTGAGAAATTAACATGGTATATAGACAAAATAGCATGTTAGTTTAACATAATATACATTATGATCTAATGAGACAATACCACAAGATAGCATAACACTTAAGAAGATATGATAGTTTGTGAGGAAGATATCATGGTAATTTGAGAAGATACAATACCATTTTAACAAGACAAGACACTCAGTTAACCAGACATCACGAAACATCTGAACATAAGACAGCTACGACGCTCCATACATTATTATCATTCTGGGCATTCTTTCAACTTTTAAAATGTTATTGTTTTTAGGTTAAATTCATCTTCAATTACCTCTGCCATAGCATAACTGTTCATTTTATCGTGGATGATGAACTTGTTCTGATAAATCAAATCTTGGTCGTGTGTCGCTAAGCTCAGACTCATGGAAATCCGGGTAGCATATCTGAAGTTTTACCCAGGGAAAACCCAGAACGGTTATTTGTATTTTATCTACTGATACAAAGAAATGGCCATTTGTGATAGAAATTTAACATTAATATCATACTAGTGAAATCCTTTCAGTTTAAGAAACTGCATTAAATTGTCTATTTTATGACAATCACAAAATATTTGTGGAATTGATTAATGTTAATGTTGAACAATGTTAAAAGCTTTATATTGTCATAGATACACAAGGGTTTGTTGACAAAAGTAAGTCAGTGTTGTATGAAGAAAAATGTGTAAAGCAATTTAAAAGGCTAAATTGTAGCAAGTTACAGATTTACTTCCACTTATACATAGCCAAAGTACATTTTATGGTACAAACTTCTTTAAAGATACTTTCCCGCATACAAATAAGTTGGTGGTTTGATGAAATATTTTGACTAAAAACATATTCAAATTAATTAATCTATCAAAAATTTGTGTCAAATTCCTTTCAAAACATTGCAATCTGATTAAAACACAGATCCTATTTTGTTTTGCTTTTTATTGTTCAAAATTTCGTTTTACTTGTCTTTACTACACTAGGATCTGGAAGAGTGGTTACATAACCTGCGTTCTGTTTAATGGGACGGATTAGCCAACGCAACGGTCTGTTACGGCAAGTTTTTGGCGTGCAATGCCAACATCAATGCTGATTGGTTAATCAAATGTCTGATGTCATAGGGTCAAAAGCCGCCCGCATGACCCCCTGATACGACCTTCCACAACAACCGGTCAGATCTTCATGTAATGCAGACCTTCGAAAGTTTAAAAAAAAAGAAAACGGAACGAAATATAGATCTGTATTTTAATCAGATTGAAAACATTGTATTCGCGAGAAAAAAGCCCAAGCTATTATGAAAAATATATTAAAAGAAGTCATGTTTATGTCACATGACTTGGCTATCACTGTAACTAGCAACGGGTGCAAAGCCGGAGGAGAATTCATTGCAAATAAAATACAATGTTGTCTTTAAGCGCTGTCCGTGGATGTCTGAATGGTTAGTGCGCGTGTGTTGTATCGTAAGGTCTGTCAATAAATCAACCGGCGTGGTTTCGATTCCCAAGGTCTGTCAATGAATCAACCGACGTGGTTTCGATTCCCAGGTTGTACGTGACAAGGAGTAGGTTTGTCTGTCCAACCTTGTGGGTTACCTCTAGGTCCTCCAGTTTCCTCCCACTGCTACGCGCAAGTGGATTATTGAAATGAAATTGAATCTTATGTTAGTCCCGAAATGATCTAGTTTGTGTCGAGTGGACGTTAAACCCCATCTATCTTTCTCTCCTTCTCAGAAACTGTTGTACGCTTAAGACTCTCACCCTTTCACGTCCACTCACCATAAAGTTTATCAACATATACAGCAAGCGCTCTCTAATGCAAAGAGATCAGACAATCTACGCATGCAACCCTTTCATTTTTGTCCTGTGCACGCTCCATGGGTGTTTTTGAAGGAATCCAGTATTTTTCTAGTAAGATTGGGTGTGGCGTATTGTAAACCATGTAATGGCATGAGAAGGCCTGAGAGGTCTGTTGAAACCTTCACTTGAAATTCAGTTCGCTGTTACTCGCCAGCTTTAGAATGTTTGACGATAATCACAGTCCTGTGTCTCAAATATTTCTACTGCTTTTAAAGACCCCTGCACACAAGTGAATTATTCAATTAACAATAAACCATATCTTAGTTCTGAAATGAACTGGTCATTGCTTACAAAGTACCGTTTGGCTTTCCGAAATGACCTGATCAGTGTTGAGTGGACAATGTACTGTTTGGCTTTCCGAAATGACAATATACCACTTGTCTTTCGGAAATGACCTGGTGAGTGTCTCTTGCTTGCAATCTGATTAAAATACATCTATATTTCGTGCCAGCTATTTATATTTTTGATGGCCTCTACGCATCAAGATCTGTGGGAGGTTGCGCAAGTAGGGAGTCATGTGAGCAGTCATTGACCCTATGACATCAGTCATTCGATTAAACAATCCGCATCGGTACACGCAAGTGAATATTTGGTAATACAACTTTTACTTTGCTTTGTTCTCTATCGCTGTGAATGTCTACCCACAGTTCTGCGAGGCAAACGATAAGAACTCAACTCAACAGACCATTTAATAGGCTAATCCCTTGCATCAACTAGAACGCCAGTCATTTAACAACTCTTCCAGGTCCTAGCTGTAGTGAAGATAAGTTTGAACTATAAACAAACGAAATGTAAAAGGGTCTGTGTTTTAATCAGATTGTCTCGCTTGAAGGAATATATTGTCTTGCATGTTTTATATACTACCAATGCACCGTAGCTTGCCTTGCCAACCATTATTTACTAGCATTGTAGATCTGTTTGTAGTTTATTATGTTTATATAAGCAAATGTTAAAGATATGACTCTATTTCTGCCTGGTTGTGCTTGTCTATAGACTGTCTACCAATATTAAAGTACAATGTAAGTGTATAAATTATGTAAATGTATATAAAAAAATTAATTAATGTAAATATATGTTATATAAACCATGTGACAATTTTAGTTAATTATTTCTTATCGGTGTTGTGAGTAGCCCACAATGAAAAGCTATTTTTTAAACACCATGTCATGGCGTTGCACAAGCTTTTATTTTTATAGGCCACATTTCCATGTGGACGTTGTCATCGACACTGTCCGTCCACAATTTGTTTGTTGACACTCTACAAGTCACAATTTTTATTATACGCCCACATTGAAATGTGGCGCAATTATCATCCAATTGACTTTAGATTGATACACAGAGTTTAAGGTCTTGAGACAAACAAGTATACTGAGCGCCAGTATAACAAAATGATTCTGTAAACATATCTTATTTATTTTGCTTCGTATTGTGAACAATATTCAAATGGGAACACATCAATAACAACACATTTGTACACTTATGGATGTTTAATCTGTACTCAACGGTACGAAGTCAGAGGGGTCAAAACCAAAAGTACGACACAGATGTCAGTAGCGTGTGTGTCCTCCACGGGCTCTTGAGCACGCTGTGCAGCGACGTCGCATGGAATTTACCAATGTTTGAAAGAAGGTCTGGGGCAAATTGTTCCATTCTTGGACAAGAGCAGCTTCTAAAGCAGCAATGGTGTGCATCTGTGGTCTTCGATACAGATGGGGTCCAATCTCATCCCAGAGATCGGTGCCATGTCCGGAGAGATGGCTGGCCAGTCCAAGACATTGTTGTTGTGTGCAGCCAGGTAGTCCATACTAAAACGGGTGGTATGCGGACGTGCATTATCCTGTTGGAAGTGCTGAAGTTGTGGGTTAGCTCGAAACATCGGAACAACAATTGGTTGCAAGACATCATCACAGTAGGCTACAGCATTAACGTGACCCCTGCAAATGTGAAGGGCGGTCTGGTGATGAAATGTGAAGCCTCCCCACACCATTACACTCCACCCACCCCATCGATTCGTTTCGAAGACGCAGCAGTCTGCAAGACCTTCCCCAAGACGTCTCCACACGTTGACGGCCATCAGTGTGATAAAGATGAAAGCGACTCTCATCACTGAAGAGCACACTTTGCCAGTCTACTCTTCTCCATGTCTGGTGTCCTTGAGCCCATATCAAACGCCGCTGACGATGATGATCCCTGAGGATAGCTCCAACATAAGGTCGTCGTGCACGGAGTCCCATTTCTCTTAGACGACATCTTACGGTGTTGGCACTTACTGGTCCTTGTCTTCCAATGACTGCTGCACCTGTTCCAGTCGCTGGGTGGAATCTGTCACGCAAATGAGTGACCCGGATGTAGCGGTCTTGGGCCTGGGTTGTAACGTGTTGTGGACCAGGATGTTGACGGTCACGTGTTGATCCAGTAACTCGAACACGTTCCACCAACCTTACAATAGTGGACTGATGATAATTGAAGTGTCTGGCAATAGCACGTGTAGACATGACAGCCCTGGACATTCCCATGGCTTCATTCCGTTGATTTTCAGTAAGTCTCGGCATCTCTAGCTCGATTCCTTCACACATCCAACAACAAATTACGACAGATTGACGTTTCACAGTTCATGTACTGCACATTAAGTTGAAAACATGCTTTTAAAGGGCTCACACACAATGCTGCACGTGAATATTTGGTTTTTCATGTGCATCTCGTGCAATTTTTTTTTGTGCACACGGGCCGATATTTTTTGCGCTTGGGAGCTTTGTGTGAAACAATAGTTCATAGTATTGCATAATATTATACATACAAAACCACCTGGTAATAAAATATTTGGGAAAAAAAAGTGATGCGCTTTCCATGGCGCTCAGTATATATTGATTTTCAATGATATTTGATAACTTGAACAGCTAAATCCATGATACTAAATGTTTCGCATACTAAACGTTAGGGGGTGACTGCAATATACAACTAATGTCGTCAGATATTAACTGAGTAAATTTATTTCTATTGTTATTCACAATATAGACACAAAAACAGAATTGTTGGAATCGGATAAAAAAAAATCTTGCACAAAATCTTTTCTTCATTGCATATTTATAGACTAAATAAAACCAAACTCTGCCAGTATAGATGTATATACACCACTTTCATATTCTCAGCATCATAGTATATAAAATAACCTACTCTGTAACATGTGCAAAAAAGTGTCAATCAACTTTAAAAAGTCAGCTCAAACTGGCTTAATTTCATGGCTGGCTTTAAAATAAACAACTCCATGGGGATACTCGATTGAATGTTTCAGAATTTAATTCTCTCAATCTCAAAAATAGTAACAATCGAGTGAAGAAAAGGGTGATTTACATATAGATATACAACGCATGCGCCAACTGCTTGGAAAATATCTAAATTAACACAACAGCTGAAACATATTGGTTGTGTTTATGTCACACTACCACTGTTGTCAGGACTGACAGAACTCCAATAGTACTAAATTCTGCTTCACTTGATTGCAATTCTGTCAATATGATGTTCCAAACTGACAATCGAGCACACACACCCCCCCCCCCCCACACACACACCCCCCCACCCCCACCAGGACCAATAATTGCAGTTAATTTAATGCCACAAAGTTCTTTTACAATGATTTTAAAAGAATTCACGAACTGATTTTGACATTAAGCAATTTCTTTCTTATTAATATCAATGTTTACATTTAAAAACACACTATATGTACAGACAGACTCCAGTTACTAATTTAATCTTGCACCATTTAATTCAAACAAATGACTGTGAGGGGTATAGTGAAAGGTAAAGTCATGTCATTTTATATCCTTTTTGTATTATTATTTTTCCTCTTTGAGGCTAAATCACTATGTTAAAATATTGAAGTAATAAATAGCAAAATTCTGAATCCACAACTATTTATAAATGTTCTCATTTGATATACATAATTGACAGGTTCAATATCTCTGATGAAATACAAAAGTGATTGTATTTCTTAAATTCAACACCCCCGACTTGCATCTGTTGATCATCTTTATGACTATTTAGATTGGTTTTAGGTCTAACAGAGAATATTATCAAGATATTTTTGCATTTTTGTTTAAATTTTTCCCTTCTACAACTGCTTTTATATCATCTTTGTCTAATGTTTCATATGTCATCAAGGCTTTAGCTAAAGCTTTATGTTCAGCAGAATGTGATTTCAATAACGCTGTTGCCCTTTCGTACGATTCCTACAAAACAAAACAAACAACAAAATATATTCAAGATGAGATAAAAATAGAACATAATTTAAAATTAACAAACTGTTTTATCGCTGCTTTTATCTCTGGAAAATGGCCATCATCGAACTCTGTCAAGCCATAAACACCTACACCAAGCCTGAACCTCTTCCTCAATTAGAAGGAGAGTTATTGTGTTCCAAACTGCCAGAGCAAGAAATGTTCATTATTGAACATAGTCAAGATAATGTTATACACAATGTTTTGCCACTTTCACTCCATCAGAATCAAAGTTATCATGCCCCAAGGTCTCAACCAAAGAATTGATGTAATAGTCAAAGTATTGATGTAATGAAATTATACAACACACTCACTTAATTAAAATCAAAGTTATTGTGCCCCATTGCACCGACTAATCGAATTGCTTATCTCTGTTTAACCTAAGCAGGAAATACCCATGACCAAACTTAAGCCAAGGTATTCACCTTATAAAATCTACAACAAATTTTAACATTCTAGCTCAATTAAAAGTTGAGTTGTTTTGTCCCAAACAGGGTGACATATGACTGGGAGGAAGACTATAATAAAAATTTGTCAGTGACATTTTCCAGAATAAAACAAGATGAATTCAAATTAGAAAATAGAATAACTAATTCATTTAAAATAACTACATTGTTAGAAGGAATATGGATATAATAGAAATATGTCATGATCTGATAATAACTAAATTTATTTTAATATATTATACATTTCTTCAATAGGTGGTGGATAACTGAATTATATAGTGACAGTATACATACCTGTAAAAGTCGTCTTATTTCATTATCAACTAAATCTTGCACACCTTGACTAACTTCATTTACTTTAATTGTTGCAAAACCACCATCTCCACCATTATCTTCAAATACTCTTGTTCCTACCTACAAAACATTTACAGCTTACTTTATATATTTTAATCAATTATATGTTTGATTTTTTAACATACATTATGCAAGAGCTAAATCTGTCTATTGCAGGTCTTTCTTTAGGCCTGAAATGTTATCTAAATTATTAATAAGACATTAATTAACTTATCCAGACCATAATCAACTCTCGATGTCAACGCTAGACTGCGATATTTACTGGATTAGGATCCCATTTGCTGCTCAACTTTCATTCATGATTTAATCATGAAATGGATAATCAAGAGTATGTTTTTTATCGTACCGACTTTAGTAATGATAATCGAGGCTAGGCCGAAAATTCTATCGCTAAAATCTTGGTTCAGAGTTTGACTGAAATTTTCAGCAAATTCCCTTTACATTATCTAGTTTTTAACTATTATAGTGAAAACTGCCAGCTCTTTATCTAATCTCCCATAATGTATCTTTAAGCTATTGAGGTGTTTTGTTTTGGCTTTAAAGTTGCGGGGGTGTACAGATTGTTTAGATTTCAAGCTACAGTAAACTTCGCATAAGTCAGATCTAAGTGGACTGACCAATTTTATCTGAGTTAGCCGAAGACCTAGTTCAGCTCTGAATGTAGGTCTTATTATAGCCCTGTACGTTCAGGAACTGTCCTATTGAATCCTCGTCGAAATAAAATCGGTTCTCAGTCAATATTACTGGGCAACTTTTTATTGCCAAACGGTTGAGTGTCAGTCTCTGTTAACGCCTGAACAATGTAAAGGAACATTTTAGTGAGAAAATAAGACCTTGCTTACCTCGCTAGAACATGCTGTTAAAAATGCGCCCCCTTTGGCTTTGGCTGACGCCATTGAGGTCTAGATGTGGGGTGGCGCACGAATTTACGTTGCTCGGCCATATAAGACGAAATGAAATTTAAGTAAGCTGGAGTGGGGAAAAATTAGAATCTTTGAAAAGCTGAGAAACTTTAGTCAATTATTGCTTTGCCTAGGCCAATTACAATCAATTTTTTTCAAAAATTCCAATTTCGTTTATCTTATATAGCTGAGTTGTGTAAATTTGGATTTCAAAGGCGTCTGCCAGGGCGTTTGGCAAAGGGGAACGTATTTTTAACAGCATGTTGTGAACATACTGTCGATCCAACTTAGTCTAAGGAAAAAAGCCGGAATTAGATCAAATGGACCAAACATTTTGATCCGAGTTGAGCAAAGATCCGACTTCCGCGCAGAAATTTAATAAGAAAAACGTACAGGATCAAAGGATCCAAACGATTTTAGCCGAATTGAGCAAAGATCCGATTTATACGAATCCGACTTATGCGAGGTTTACTGTATTCAGATTGTATGGTTTTCAAGTTGGTCAGATTGTTTGGCTTACAAGCTGTAAGGATTGCTTGGTTTATAAGTTGTATGGATTGGATTCCAAACTGTATAGATTGGATTCCAAACTGTATAGATTGGATTCCAAGCTGAAGGGATTGTTTGATTTTCAAGCTGATAGGACAGTTTGGTTTTTAATTGTAATGAAATGTAATCATTATATTTTTAAAGTAATGGTCATATAATGAGTAATGGGAAGATTTCAAAAGGTAATGGAAATGTAATTCATTATATTTCAAAAATCATGTTATTTTTATGGTCAATTACATCTAATTTACATTTTATGGTACATGCAAGCTTAAACAAAGAGGATCTCCGAATAGATGTAGATTGTAATCGAAGATTAGAGCTATATTAGTATTCAATCATTGATTCAATCAGTTAGGTTAAATGACAATTAGACAGTCCGTTACACATTAATCTTAATCTAAAGGTGGCAAACCAAACAATGACCTTCAAGTATCTCATCATTTTATGGTTACTTATAAAAAAAATATATATTTTGCTTTACAGTCATGCTGAATGATTTCCCAGTTATACAATATTTATAAATTATAAACCAACTAGTTCGATGGATTAAGAATTATACCTAATAACTTGAAATCAAAGAAAGAAGTTATAAGTATACTTTCAATTCATTTTTCAAAGCAATACAGTTACAACAACAATCTTATTTGATGTGATATTTTATAGAAATAACAATTAACACAGAAAACTCTGTTTTAGCAAATCAAAGAAAGGTTATTTTGACCATAATTTGCTATGTACTACACGACAGAAAAATATGGTTGTCTTTTAAATGTCTATAAATAAAATGATATTAATTACATGTATATAGTCAAACGTAATGGCTAACGGTAATTAATTACTTTCAAGGTAATGGGTAATAGTAATGAATTTTATTGCTAAAAATGGGAAAGTAATGGTAATGTAATTAATTTCTTTGGCAATGTTTTGATTTTAAGCTGTTGGGATAGTTTGGGTTTCAAACTTTTGGGATAGTTTGGTTTTCAAACTGTTGTTAAAGTTTGAATTTCAAAATTTTGGGATATAAAAAAAAGGATGGGAAGTTCAATGGTCACCTAGAGACAGATGCTGCAGGTTATACAAGGAGTAACGTTGGTTATCTAACCATAAGTTTTCTCCTAGAGTGAAGATCAAAACAACCTATAAAACAAGGCTACACTATTGTTTGTACGAATGATCTAATTGTATTAAGTGGATGTTAAACACAATGTCTCCTACCAAAGAAATTACTATAAATAGTACCTATTTCTAGAATGTTAAGACCGGTTTTGTTTGTAAGATTCATGGGCTTTACATTGACACGTATCACATTTGCATACAGAAAGAACAATACCTTATCTGACATTCCAAATTGTTTTACCATGGCAGCAGCTATCCTTGTCGCTCCCTGAAAATCCCCAGATGCACCTAAAATACAAAACATTAACATGAATTTTGGCATTATTAATAAATAAGATTTGTACAAGCAGAATTCTTTTATAATACAACAGTTAAATCAATGTGCTAAGATGAGAAAACTTTTCAATTAATGAAGCCTTTGAATGGAGAAAAACTGCTAGAAACTAACGGTGAGGAAGGTGGAAGTAATTTGCCTTCTTGAGAAACTAAAGATACTTGACAGATCAGTGAGCTATCTTGAACAAATAAGTAATGGATTCCCTGACCCAAGAATTTCAACTAAAAGACCAAAACCTTATCATTAAATCCTCTGTTCTTTACTTATTTGTTTAACTTTAAAATTGGATGTGTTATTGGGTATTCTAGAAAGAGCTAGCATAACCTGCTTCATGCATAACACCCATTACTATATATACTAATTACATCTAACTAAATGGAGCAAATAAATCAAGTCCACAGGTGCTTATGAAATGAACAAATTTTTCCAAAAATTACAATTCATAAAAGGGAAATAATAAATTTCAGGTCCAAAAAAAAAAACACATTTTTCCAAAAATTACAATTCATAAAAGGGAAATAATAAATTTCAGGTCCAAAAAAACTCATCTGAAACTTCTCACACAGACATGGCAAGAAACAAAGGTTCAATACATCTCTGCTTCTCTTTGATTTTCTCCACTACATTAGCCAACAAATTGACACCATCTTAGAGTCTTTATCTCTATTTTTCATCAGCATGAACAAATGTAGCTTGTGGTTGTACAATAGATTTAATGGGGTTATTCATGTTTTAATACAAACAAGGAAAAGAATAAAGAGTACCTGTTGTAACCTGATCTGCACCATAAATAAGTTCTTCTGCTACTCGTCCACCCATAGCTACATCCATCTGTGCTAATAATTGAGCTTTAGTACGATTATATACTTCTTTATCATCTATAAATGCTGTCTATAATAATATAAAGACATTGTTTACAGTTAAAACCTAGTCCCGTAAATGTTGAAAACCATTTATTTTAGAAACTAGCGGTTGCCAGGCAAGATACGCCCACATTTTGCAAGAGATGGATAGAGAACAATCTAAAAAATCAAAAAAAATCACATGATTTTTCATACAATCATGAGCCATAATACAGGAAGTAATGGTCTGAAATGTGCAATTATCGAAAGGCACTGAGATCTTCGAGATATAAAGATATATTTTAAGTTTCATCAAAATCAGACAAAAATTGTGACCTCTAGAACAACCATCATATTATTACATACCTGTGCACATATTGTATACAAGGAGCGGCCATCTTGTCAGGCAGTTGCGGTCCGATTTTCACGAAATTCGAACTCAACCGTCATTAGGGTGTAACGGTGATATATTCAAACGTTTTTTTAAATCAGATAAAAATTGTAACCTCTAGAAGGAACACAAGCTAAAAACATGATTTTCATGCAATAAAGGGCCATAATTTAGGAAGTTACGATCTGATATACGCGAATATCAAAAGGAATCAAGATCTTTCGGTTATAAACACTTATTTCAAGTTTCATCAAAATCAGATCAAAATTTTGACCTCTAGAGGGTCCAAAACCTTGATATACCATATTTTTCCACTTTTTGCATACACTAGGGGAGGTTAATTTGTCTGGTAGTTTTGGTCCGATTTTCAAGCAATTCGAACCCAAACGACATTACGGTGTAACGGTGATATATTCAAACGTTTTTTTTAAATCGGATAATAATTGTGACCTCTAGAGGAACAACAAGCTAAAAATGCGATTTTTCATACAATCGGGGACAAAATGCAGGAAGTTACGATCCGATATGTGCAAATATCAATAGGAACCAAGATCTTTGGGTTATAAATATGCATTTTAAGTTTCATCAAAATCAAATGGAAATTGTGACCTCTAGAGTGTCCACAAGCTAAACCGATATCCAGACAGACAGGAGCGACGACAATATACCTCCACATGAAAATGTGGGCGTATAAAAATCACAATTATGAATACAAAATGACTAGTTTGAGCACTTACTATAAAACAGTAACTAAGATGGTACCTAATTACATGCTAAAAATCAATAATGTGTACAACAATGATTGGACTAATTTTAGTTAGGAAATGAAAAAACTTCATTAGCTGCTCTGTATTTTCAATGTTTTTGTTAAGAATTGGTTTCAAACAATCTTTTGCCACCAACTATCATTGAATGAATCATAGACATAAGAATTTCAACTGTAGTGTTATTATTGTCTTCGTACCAAACCATCTTGTGGACCTACATGTACCCATTGAAATCACCAGAAATGGACAAAACTGGCTTTAGACAGGGCAGTCATCATGAATCTGCAACTAAAAGGATCAACCCCAACACAGATACATGCCGACATGGCCTCAACTTTAGGGGATGATGCCCCTTCCTTTTCTACGGAATTGAAGTGTGGCAGAGAGAGCCTTAACTATGATCTGCGTCCTGGAAGGCCATCAACAGCAACCATTCAAGAAAACATTACCCGGGTGCATGATATGATAATGGCTGATCGCCCCTCTTGAGAGGGTTGAGCACATTATTACAAACGAGTCAGGAATGACAAAAGTTTCGGCAAAATGGGTGCCAAAGCTCTAGACTACGAGGATCAAAATTTTTTTAACCAGATCTGTAACCATGGATGAGACTTGTTTCCAAAAATGAAAAAGGAACTAGCCGGTCATCACATTTCCTAGCAATGATGACGTCAGCTGTGGACAACTTATTTTAGGGTGGCTGAAGAAAGTTTCTTCCTGACCCGCATCCAGGCCTTGCAACATCGTTGGCAAAAGTGTGTACACCTTGATGGGGACCATGTAGAAAAATAAATGGAAACCATCGACTTTGTACAAGTCTTTCACAGATAGGCTACATTTAACTTATTCTGAAAACATATCTTTACTTTTCTTGCAGAGTATTTCCATCCAGACTATGATGGCAGTAAATTAAACAGAAATAATGTAATACAAATAACTTACATAACCTAAAGCCATTCCACGGGGAATAATGGTTACTTTGTGTAAGGGTGTGGCTTCTTTAGTATAATAAGCTACTAAAGTATGTCCTGCCTCATGATAAGCTGTTGACCAATTTGTTGCTTCATCAGGTATTTTAGTTTTCTTTTCTGGTCCTGTAAAAATAAATATATTTCACATGTATAAGACAATTTGTTCATTTATTTAAGGAAAATATTGAGAGTAAACATGACGAATTCAAATTATCTTAAAAAATTAGAAAATAGAGTAACTAATTTAATTGGAATAATTTGACTATTAAAAGGACAGGGACCGTACACAGATCTTTGTAGTCAATTTATATTTTTATGAAAGTTTCTCGTGCAATTTTATGATTTGTATCAAATTTTTTGATATTTTTATAATGTATTAATCACATATCATGACTTTTTATGTTTTTATCATTATCAAATATTATGACTTTTTCTTTTATATAACTGCACTGACGGTAAATAACTTATCTCCTGTCCATGAAGTAGTGTTCAGCCAGTGTTATGCAGATAAGAATGCCCCCCCCCCCAGTAGCACTGGTGGTATTAATGGTCACAGTCATCTTCTCCTATATTCATATACCCACGGGGAGCCACGGTGGCTAAGTAGGTAAGATGCTGGCTCACTAGCCAGTAGGTTGCGGGTTCGCTCCCGGTGTTGGCCGCGAAAGTACATTGAGGTTTTCCGGCGTGGTTTCCCCATGTCTGTGGTGTCGTACACAGGGCCTGACAAGGACAGCCGTCTAGTCATTCCGATAGTCCCGTGTCCTGTGAGGTCCCCTGTACATATTGGCGTGCACGTAAAAGATCCCTAGACAGTTGGAATTGGATAGCATCGCTGTCATGGCAAAATTTCCCTCATAGAACACAGTATGCCCGTCTTCCTTAACCCAGTCGGACCAGAACAGTAGTAGATTAAACCTAACTTTCATTTCATTTCATATATCATCATAACATTAACTGAACACTGTCAATTCAATAGAAAATGAAAGAGCAGCAAGCTGTGGGTCATAAAATGCCTGGATGATTTTCTTATTCAAAACCGGAATTAATAGTATAGAAATTCATTATTGTGAGTAGCGATTTATGTTTGAATTTTATATTTTGAAAAAAAAATTTTGTCCCATTTAATGACAAATAGTGAAATTTATTTTTTTTTGTGATATTTTTCCATTTTATGATAATTTAATGAGAAATGACAAAATTTTATGAAAATATAAATGTATTTATATTGCACGGTCCCTGGAAGGAATATATATATATAATTGCAATATGCAATTATTTAGTATAAATACTAGTTAAATCACTTATTGATTGAGATATATTCTAAATATGCATTTTAATATTAAATGCAAATTTATATAAAATTAAAAAAATAATATAAATGTGTTATGGTTGATCAATTATCATAATAAATCTAAATGCAATATGCAAATAATTTAATAAATGTAAATGGACGTACCCATTAAAACTTTATCTCTAGAATATTCCATATGATTCATTGAAACAGTTGGAGAGCCATCAATAGCAGCTTTTAATGCTGCCTGATTTACCATATTCTCTAAATCAGCTCCTATAAATATTGAAAAGAAAATTTAATTACAGGCATTCAAATATTCCACCCACCAGTACACAACAACTATTACCCCTTCGAACAAGATGTCTTGGCCATCAACAACACACCCTTTCACAAAAAATCAGTAAAAAAAAGTTTGCATGGAAAATCAACAATTACCAGGTATTCAACTGAAAAATTCATAACAAGCCAACAGTGAGGCTGATGTCCCCTGCCGAAATACCAAAACAAATAGATGACACATATTAATTAATTGCATTAAGTTTCATCACTCTCCATCAGTTATAATCAAAGTTAATATGGCCCAAAGAATCAACCAATGAAATTGCTTAGCTCTGCTTAGCTTTAGTGGGAAATGTTAACCATTGAACTCACTCAAGACTCAAGACATTCACTTAATGAACATCTACATGAAGTTGAACCAGCGGCTGTCAAACAGGATACGCCCACATTTTGCAAGAGATGGATAGAGAACAAGCTAAACGTGTTCCAAAGTCTCAACCAATCAAATTACTTATCGCTCTGAAAAAAATGCTCATTATCTAACTTTGCCATGGTATTGAAGTGATAAAACTATACACCAAGATCCATAACTTTCACTTCACTAAAGTTATGGTGTTCCAAAGCATCAACCAATCAAATTGATGATCTCTGCTTACCCTAAGGAGAAAATTCTCACCTTTGAACTCCATGAAGGCATTCACTTAATAAACACCAACACCAAGTGTAGACATTCTAGCTCAATTAGAAGGTGAGTTGTGTTCCAAAGTCTTAACCAATCAAATTGTTCATCGCTCTGCCTACCCTGAGCAGAAAATGCTCATTATCGAACTTAGTCAAGAAACTGATGTAATGAAACTATACACCAAATTTCATCACTCTCGCATAATTAGAACTAAAGTTATTGTGCCCCAAAGTATCAACCAATCAAATTGCTTATCTCTGCTTACCCTAAGCAGAACATGTTCACCTTTGAACCCAATAAAGGCATTAAACTAATAAATACCTACACCAAGTTTGAACATTCTAGCTCAATTAGGAGAGTTATTGTGTCCCAAAAAGTGTGACTGACAGAGAGGCAGATGGACAGACACATTTTAATAGTCCCCTGCACAATCATACTTCTCGCTGTGTTTCATTTGATTAGAGCTAATCCCACTTCACACTGATGTAAAGGAAGCAAATTTCTGTTTCAAATTATGACTGGTCAATAGTCCGATTAACAACCAATAGCTAACTGCGTAACAATATCATTACAAATTGGACCAGATATGTTTACATAACGTTATGCCATGACTCACGATTTTATTATGCCCAATTAACCAGTGCATAGCAGAATATTGCAGAAAAAATAATTGCATGACAAACGAGACTATCAACACGGATACAATGTAAACAATACTGTATGTAGACAAACAAGACTTTCACCGTTTTTAATATCTTAAATCACTGCCCAAAGTTTTAGGGAAGACCCCAGATTAAACGAAGGGCTGTCATGTTGCTGTACTTGAGATAGATTTGATTGAACAGGAAGAATAGACACACTCCCTCAAAAGCTCAAGTATCAGAAGCCAATCCAGCAATGGCCAGATAGGGATTTCTCGGGCCATTGCTTCAGGAATATGGGGGACAATTAGTAAAAGACACACACCAATAGAATATGTTGATGGGTGGACAATAGAGTAAGATACTGATTTCACTATTTGTATATATTGTTGCCCAGTAACTACATAATTTTTGCTTTAATTAACATCATTTATGAATACATTATATAATTTTTGTAAATACAGAAATAACTTACCAGTGAATCCGGTAGTTCCCTTTGCCAACATTTCAATATCAACAGCTACAAGAGAAAACAAGATCTCTTTAATTTAGGACTAAACTGGGTTAATCTAATGTGTTAATTCAATTAAAAAAAAAAATAAGGCAAACTATATCAAGCAAGCCAACATTGAGGCTGATGTCCCGGCTGAAATCCCAAAATAAAAAGATGACACATATTAATTAATCGCACATTTATTTTTTTTTAAAAAGTATCAAGCAATCAAACTGATTATCAACTATTCCCCACTCTCTATAAGATAGAATCAACGTTATCATGTTCCAAAGCATCGACCAATGAAATTGCTTAACTCTGCTTAGCTTTAGCTTGAAATGTTAATCACTGAACTCAGTCAAGACATTCAAGTTTAAACATTCTACCTCAATTAAAATCAGAGTTGTTATGTTCCAAAGTCTTGACCAATCAAATTGCTTATCGCTCCTTAGCCCAAGTTTGAACATTCTAGCTCAATTAGAAGGAGAGTTATTGTGTCCAAAAAAGTGTGACGGACAGACAGACAGACAGACAGTTCTGATTTTATTTCTTTGTATTTCTCTTCATAAATTCTTTTGTTCCTTTTAAAACAGACAGACAGACAGTTCTGATTTTATTTCTTTGTATTTCTTTTCATAAATTCTTTTGTTCCTTTTAAATCATTTCCTATCATGTCCCAGATTTCTGTAGCATAAGGGAGATATTTGTTACATCCTTATTGTCCATCAATTAAAAGGAAAATAACTGAATACAAATGACTTACTTTTATCTACTATGACTTTTTTCATATAATGTTCTAAAATATCTTTTCTTCCCTTGAGATCTGGTGGAAAAACTCGAACTTCTACATCAAATCTACCTGCTCGAAGCAAAGCTCTAGAAATATAGGAAAAAAACAAAAAATTCTTATTTAAACCAATTATCAAATGCTGATATGAATTTATGAGTTATATTTGAACAATATATGTAGAATTACCCACCCCATATATATATATATATATATAGAATTACCTACCCCATATATATATATATATATATATATATATATAATATTGTTGGATACTGTAACATAGAAATTAAATCAAACCAGAAAATTGTGTTAAAAGCCACATTTCTATAAACATTTTTGTTCTCCAATATAAATCCCACTGAACATCTACACTATATCACTTTAATCTAAATATGCATATCTGCAGACCTTGTTCGGGTCAGATTAATTTTCATAGCACATTTGTCGGATAGTTACAATTACTTGGCATATAGTTCCATCTGATTAGCATAAAACAGTTTCAAAGTTGTTAATTTAGTTAATTAAAAGTGCTGTGCATTTGACTCATTGATTGTTTTTTGTGAATGGGAATATTTGACCCATTGATAGATTTAGTATGTGGGTATATTTGACCTATTGATAGGTATAGTGTATGGATATATTTGACCCATTGACAATTTTAGTGTATGGGAATATATGAATACTTACTTGTCTAAATTATCTCTCTTATTGGTGGCTCCAAGAACAATTACACCTTCATTCTGGGTAAATCTATAAATATAGCACAATGATTCACTACTAATTATGTATAGTTATATCTGCCTTTACAGTTAAATTTATGGGTAGGTACAAATCTAAAATTCGTATATTAATTTACAGTCGCACATTATATTTTAAAATCTACATCTAACCAGGGGTTGCCAGGCAAGATACGCCCACATTTTGCAAGAGATGGATAGAGAACAAGCTAAAAAAAAAAATGATTTTTCGTACAATTAGGGGCCATAATGCAGGAAGCTATGGTCTGAAAGTTTCATCAAAATCGGATCAAAATTGTGGCCTCTTGAGGGTCCACAACCATGACATACCATATATTTACACTATTTAAGTTCATTTTCATGTCGATGTATATTGTCCTCACCGCTGTCAGTTTGAAATGTTTGAAAGAATAATTTATCTCAATTTTTATTATAGCTATAAATTGTGAAAGGCAAGGAGAATTTAGTCCAGAAAGTAACTACCATGTGCACACCTCTTCCCATTCAAACGGTTCAAAGGATGTTTCATCTACACTCTGCACACTCAACTTCATGATCAGCTTCTCTTCAAGATAAAATACAACTACTGGGTTGTCAGAAATACTATACAAGAAATTTGCCATTTCATGTACAAAAATTCCAAAACATCCAGCAAGAAAGAAATTAATTACTTTTTTATCTCTGAAAATAATACCAAAATAATTACCCATCCATTTCAGAAAGAAGTTGATTAATAGTCTGGTTAGCGTATGGGTGAATTTGAGAACTTGTTCTTTTGGCACCCACAGAATCAATTTCATCAATAAATATCACACATGGAGCACTGAGTTTGGCAGCCTCTGAAATAATTATATACACCATGAACTAATTTTTTGAATATTCTAAAACGAGAAATTCATGAGTTAAAGAAATTTAAAGATACATTATGTAAGATTTAGATAAAGAGCCGATCATTCTTGCTATAATAGTTCAAAAATAAATAATGTAAAATTTTGAACCAAGAAATCACTGTTTGTAGTTTTGACAAGATGTGTGCATTGTTGTAAGCAGCGCACTGGTATATTCGAAACTTAGCCTCACTTTCCCATTTTTAAATTAAATTTTTAAATGGCGAACTGTTCTAATCTAGTTAAAATCTTGAGTATCCGATGCTATCAAGAGTTGATTATGGTCTTGTTTTGTTAATAAATGTATAATTAATAGTTTATGTAACATTTCATGCCTAAAGAAAGACCTGCAATAGGTAGATTTAGCTTTTGCCTAATGTATGTTTAACATGTGACACTTTAATTCATATGTGCATTTCTGTTGCCTTATATAAAATAATTTAGAGAGTAATTACCCATCATTGAGTAATATTGTTAACCATAACACCTCTCAAAATGATACAATAATCATCAGTGATTAATCAGGATGACATAAGAAAGATATCATTACCTGTTAAATCATGTCTTAATTATGTGTTAAAATCAAAAGAAGCCATTCATCATAGCAAAGAAAAAAATACAGGTCGCATTAATTTCAAAATGCCTTTATGCCAACTCCCTTCAATTCACATTAATTTCATGACAGGTTAATTTCTTGTCTTAAAGATTCATTATGTGAGATTTAGATAAAGAGCTAGCCATTCTCACTATAATACTTCGAAAATAGATAATGTAAAATGAATAATTTGAAAATTTCATTCAAATTACTCTATTGCGAGTAAAGATATTAGCCTTTGAAGGTTTGACAAGATGTGTGTAATAATTTCAACAACTGTACTGGTTGTTCGAAGCTAAGTCTCGCTCCTCCATTTTTAGTTTAAATCAAAATATGGCTGAACTGTTCTAATCTATTTAACATCGGAGAAATCCGATGCCATCGAGAGTTGATTATGGCCTGGATAAGTTAATTAATGTCTAATTAATAATTTAGAAAACATTTCAGGCCTTAAGAAAGACCTGTAATAGGCAGATTTAGCTCTTGCATAATGTATGTTTAAATTGAAGAGGATAAATTTTTGTATCATATGTTATACATTACTTTATACTTCACAAGGTCAACATGTTTTAATGACTTCCACATATTACTAATTAAAAAGTCATGGATTTGTGAAACGCATAAAGATATGTAGATAAACTGGCGAAGATATCAATGATTTTCTAAGCTGACAAAAATATCAACATTGAAACTATCAATGCATTGGTGTTAACTTACTGAAGAGTTGTCGTACCCGTTTGGCACCTGTTCCTACAAACACTTCATCAAATTCAGAACCAGATGCACGAAAAAACTTCACTTGGGCTTCGCCTGAATAAAAAATTATAAAATTATTGATAACCTTCATAGTGAAGAAACCTCCATTACCTTTTCTGAAAAATGAAGTTTATTGCAGAGCTAACTATGAACACACCACATACCCATAGTTGTGACATGTCGAATTGCAGCCAAAAATTCTCAAATAATTGACCTCAAATAAACCTTAAAATTAATTAGAATTTAGTAGCAACTTATAAACTGTACTGAAACAGATCCAACAAAATAAACACATAAAGGAAAGAACTGAATATATACTCTTCAAAAATAAGAAACGCATAGCCCATTTTTCATGATTTTATATTTGAACAGGATCGCTGTTTCTATAAATCTTGCTTGTTTTTAATGTCATTATATGTCATTATGTAATGATAAAAGAAATTCAAGATTGGTTTTAAATGTAGGGTCACTAATTGTGACTGGTCATACTTTTTGCCAAAATTTGTTTTTGCTTGATTGGACCAAGACACATGAGTTTAACAACTTTGCAAGCTTTTCGTATGAAACCCAAATTTGAGGCCTTTAAAATCCCAGGGTTCTCAGTTTCAAAATCAGCTGCACATGTAAACGAGCCAAGTGATGCAACATCCGAACAAAGACCAACGCAACAATGCTATCAGTCTGATACAAGCAGGTGAATTCCAAACACATGTAGCCAGGCGGCTGAATGTTTCCCAGACAGCGAAGTTCAACACATGACCGTCCAAGCTCTGGCCAAACAAGAGTGACCTCACCTGCCCTGGATCGTCACATCCAGTTACGTCATTGCGGAAATAGGATCTCAGACTAGACAGTCTGTAAATGCCAACATGAAACCGGATTACGAGCCAGACGCTCCGTTAGAACTGCTCTTTTGAAATATGCCGACACAGTCAAATCCAACTGCAATGGGTTCAGACACAGAGGGTATGGCTACAGCAACGCTTGAGAACAGTTTGGTTCGGCGACCAGTTGCGGTACCTGTTGCAACGAGGCGATGGTAGAGCGAGGGTATACCAATGACTAAATGTCACCATGCGTTTCTTTTTTTGAAGATTATATCTAATAATATACCATCATGTTAATAATTCCTTGAATATAAAATTAGAAGACAATTCATAAGACAGTTACTGAAGCTATTTCAAGTTGATATATTTTAATAAAATAGTTACCTGCCACTGCTCTAGCAAGTAAAGTTTTACCTATACCAGGTGGTCCCACTAACAAAACACCTAAATATAAATGAAAGATATATTTATCATTTCTACATATTGGAAATGCAAAGAAATCTTTTATAGCAATGTGAGACTTTCTGTGTACTCAATCATGTAATAATATCTAGCAAAAAATATCTATATATTGTAAAACTATACTAAATATTTTTTTGCCTAATCTTGATGTACACTTAAACATAAAAGTAAGGGCTACACAATTTTAAAATAACAAAGGATTGGGTGGTAATTTGAAATGACCCATTTGAAAGACCCCTCAACCAACAAAATAGTCTTTAAATGTCTACCATCGAATCAAATGTATATGTCAGAACATTGATATTATTTTAACAAAGCCTTGAAAAACTATTGAAACTGTTATGTTCGAATAACTTTGCGAGCGTAAATACATGTATGGATATATCACCTTTAGGTAATTTAGCACCAAGTACTGTGAATTTTTCAGGATCACGTAAAAATTCAACAACATCTTTTAGCTCTTGCTTAGCTTCATCAGCCTGAAAAAAAAAGAAGAAAACAAATGAAATGAAGTTTAATGTCCTACTGTTCTGCTCTTACTGGGCCAATGAAGACGGAAGAAGAAAAGAAATCTCAATCAAAAGTAAATTTCACTAATCTGAACAATGCATATAAATTTCAATGGATTGTATGAGAACAGGAGCATTCATAAGACATTACAATAAACAAATTGCTTAAACTCAAAGGCTTATTCATTTCACTAATGTAAACAACACATATAAATCTTAAAAAGATTAGATGATAATGCAATCTTTAATGTATTAACAGACAAACTCAGAAAAGGGAAGGCTCAAATAATGTTTATCATGTTTCTGAAAACATCTCATTATATCTTTTTATCTAATGTATTTTAAAAAGAATTTCTAGCCATTTTATTCAACTAACACATTCATTTTCTGCCAAAGATTCAAACAAAGAAAACAATATCTTACTCCTTTTACATCATCAAAAGTCACCATGATTTCTTCTGGGTTAATCTGGAATTGTTGCCCTATGTTGATAATACCTTTAAATCCGTTTTGTACTCCATCTCCAATATAAAAAAAATTAATCAAATAATAATAATAATATTGTCTATGATAAAAGAAAACGAGTTTATAAACATGATTTTTACAAAAAATCTTGAATGCTGTAAAGCAAAAAATCAATGTGTCATGAAATGAATGGACATGAACAGTGTTCTCATAAATATAATGTGAACTGTTGTCTCATACCCTTTCTTTAATGACTATTTTATAATAATGTCAATAGAGGTTATATTAGAGATTTAACTTTCTGAATATTGCTGTATGCAAGGGATCAAAAATCACTCAAATGACAATCAGAGACTTAAACTTTTGCAAATTGGCCAATATCTTATATATGAAAAACAGTGTTATCACTTACCACTCACTCCTCTATACAGAGATACCACCTGCATTATTATATATATAATGAAGCCATACATAATAAATCGGCCAAATCTACTACCCGAAGAACCACTCGCTGATGCTGGTTTCTCTCGGGCACTGTAACCTTCTGCAAACGCAACTTTCAATTTGTCTTGAAATTCAGGATTGCGTTCATGTTCATTGACCAACTTCTGTAACTCTGGCTGTTTTTGCTGTGACTCTTTAGTGGGAAATATCTTTGAAAAAACCTTGAAAAATATTCAATATTAATTTAATAGAGTGAATTTTGCATCTTAATATAATATCTTTATTCACAAATTTGAAATCTTTAATATCAAAACCTGTTAACTGTTTTAGCCTAACATTCTTTCACCTCACATTCCAATTGAATTTTCCAAAAAGAATGTTAAAACATAAATGGGGTTCCTGTATCATTTAAATTTAGAGAGTTGATCTTACCTTAGTTGATTGAGAAAACATAATTCAAAGAAATCCTTAAAATGTTTTCTAAGCACACATCCTAGCCAGGACACAACAGAAAATTCACAAAAATGAGCAACACAAGGGATAATCTCTTATAATTGGAGAGCTATACCTAGCACTGTTAGCTTAGGTTGTAAAAAACGGATAAAAACTGTAAACTCTAGAGGGTCCACAAGCTACAAGCGGGGGCTATAATCCATGAAGTTACGGTATGATGTCCGTGAATATCGAAAGGAGCCAAAATCTTTGGCATATAAACATATATTTTAAGTTCCATCCAAATCGGACAAAAATTGTGACCGCTATCGGGTCCACAACCCTGGTATTACATACTTTTACACTATTTGCTTTCAAGGAGCAATTATTTTGTCCGGCAGTTTTGGTCCGATTTTTACAAAATTCTAACTCCATCATCATCAGGGAGCAACGGTGAGTATGAAGTTTCGACCCAATACATGCCAATATCTAAAAGAACCGAGATCGTTTGGAAATAAACCTATATTCTAGGTTTCGTCAAAATCCAATAAATTGTAAACAGACGGACGGACGGACAGGGGCGATGACAATATGCATACACATGAACATTAAATGATTCTAAATATTACTTAGACTGACTTAGAGGTTAATTTAATTCAACTTATTTTGTTTTTTCTTTGTGCTTCTTATTTCTACATCCGCACCAGATGTAACATATATTCACTACAATTGCTTTCAGAGAGAGAACTTTGCATGTGTTATCCACACAACCTCTGTAAAAGTCTAAAACGTATTGAAAAACACATAATTTCAAACAAATTGCTTACAGATTTTTTAAGATCATCTAATGCTGATGTATGTTTAGGGTCCTGACCCATTCCACCTCTGTGACCTGCTCTAACAGTCTTAAATCCCCTTTGTTGCTGAAATACTAAAATATGTCTGGATATAATATAAAACAATAAATTAGCCTACATTACTCATCATGATAAACAAAGCAAACATGTGTAACTTGTGCCATTGTGTATATTTCTAAATCTGCCTTGTTAAAAAAAATTGTATTTATCAAATGTGTATTAGCTGTCATAAATATTAGGCTACTGATGGCTAATACATACATGAGTTGAATATTCCTTTATTTAATAAATGTTGAACTGTTTTGTCCTCCAATATCTGGCCAATTGTAACATGGTGTAGATTATCCCCAAGTTGACTGGATGGAAATCCTGCAAAAAAGATATTATACTGTTTGAAAACAAAAAACAAAATAAAAATTTTCTTATTAAATCCAGCCATTGCCAGGCAAGATATGCCCACATTTGCAAGAGATGGACAGAGAACAAGTTAAAATAAGGGACCATATTCCAGAAAGTTACGGACCGATATGCTTGTACATCAAAAGGATCCAAGATCTTTTGAATATAAACATATATTTTAAGTTTCATCAAAATCGGATAAAAACTGTGACTTCTAGAGGGTCCACAACTTTGGTATTACATACTTTTACACTATTTGCTTGCAAGTAGAAGTCATTTTGTCAAGCAGTTTTGGTCCGATTTTTATGAGATTCGAATTCAACCACAATTAGTGTCTAACGGGGATATGTTTTGACCTATAGAGGTTCCAACAAGCTAAAAAACATGATTTTTCGTACATTGTTCAACCGGGGGTCACAATCCATGAAGTTACGATACGATCCATGCTAATATCAAAAGGAACGAAGATACTTTGGAGATAAACCTATTTTTCAAGTTTTGTAAAAATCGGATACAAACTGTGACCTGTAAAGTGTTCACAAAAAAAGTGTGGAAGGATGGACAGAAGCAACAACAATATACGTCCAAATGAAAATGTGGGAATATAAAAAAATGTTTTAGGACAATAGTTACCGAAGAAACTAACCTGTTTTATTTTCAAAGAAAGTATTTTTTGACACATGTGATTCATTCCACACCGCATCTTTGTTTTTTGAAAGAACTTCTGTATGTTTTTTAGGTGTGAATGTATCAAGAAGTTGGGATACTGTGAGCTCTTTAGGAAGATCTTCAAATGACAATTCTTTACTTAAATCACTGTTCTGTAAAATGAAATAATCAAAAATACATGAAAGTGACATTAATTCAATTTTTTAATCTTATCTGAAACGAGTCACAGATCCATAAAACAAATGTTTGTTCAACTTAAAGTAGCCAAGTCTCTAACTCAATATCATCCAAAGTCTTCGACATTGAAAACACAAATTATTTGTCAACTTAAACAAACATTGATGTTGTAATCTTACCGGGAAAAGATGGGCTTCTGATATCCAAAATTTAAGTGCCAGTTGTAACAAGAGACTAGAAGAACCAGGCTAGACATATTCCACAAGTCTTGTCAAACGATAACATTATATTCTTATCTGGAAAGCATGTGCTATAAACCCTTTCGGTGTAGACTGGAATAACCTATGGAAGGGTATCATTCTTATCTGGAAAGCATGCGCTACAAACACTATCGGTGTAGACTGGAATAACCTATGGAAGGGTATCGCTGCCAATATTAAATGCTCTGCGACAATGTCGTTTCCATTGCTTATATGTAACCAGCGGCTGCCAGGCAGGATACGCCCACATTTTGCAAGAGATGGATAGAGAACAAGCTAAAAACAAAGATAGGTTGCCAGGCAACGAAACATACGCCGACAGCAGCTAAATCGTCCGGGCAGTCAACAAGAGTTGTCACATATTTTTAATTTTCGGTAATGAAACATTTATAATAAACTAAAATCTGATTATAAATTTAAAGTCAATTGGATATTAACTTTGACCTCTAGAGCGTCCACAAGATTTTTCAAAATGATTAAGGGCCATAACTCTGACATTAATTATCGGAAATTGCTGAAAATCAAGAGGATTCTTCGTCTCATGACCTTAAACACTGTGTATAAATTTAAAGTCAATCGGATATTAACTTTGGCCTTTAGAGCGTCCACAAGATTTTTCAAAGTGATCAAGGGCCATAACACTGGCAGTAATTATCGGAAATTGCTAAAAATCAATAGGCTTCTTCGTCTCATGACCTTAAAGACTGTGTATAAATTTAAAGTCAATCGGATATTAACTTTGGCCTTTAGAGCGTCCACAAGATTTTTCAAAGTGATCAAGGGCCATAACTCTGGCAGTAATTATCGGAAATTGCTAAAAATCAATAGGCTTCTTCGTCTCATGACCTTAAACACTGTGTATGAATCTAAAGCAAATCTGATATTAACTTTTGCCTCAAGAGCGTCCACAAGATTTTTTGAAGTGATCAAGGGCCATAACTCTGGCAGTAATTATCGGAAATTGCTGAAAATCTATAGGCTTCTTCGTCTCATGACCTTTAACACTGTGTATAAATTTAAAGTCAATCGGATATTAACTTTAGCCTCTAGAGCGTCTACAAGCAATTGTGGACGCCGGCCGGCCGGCCAGCCGGACCGACGACAATATACGACCACATTTAAATGTGGGCGTATAAAAACGATTTTTTGTACAATCAGGGGCCATAATCCAGAAAGTTATGGTCTGAAATGCACAAATATCAAAAGGGACTGAGATTTTTGGAATATAAAGATATATTTTAAGTTTCATCAACATTGGATAACCAGCGGCTGCCAGACAGGATATGCCCACATTTTCAAGAGATGGATAGAGAACAAGCTAAAAAGAAAGTGATTTTTCCTACAATCAAGGGCCATAATTCAGGAAATTACAATTCGATATGCGCAAATATCGAAAGGAACCGAGATCTTTGGGTTATAAACTTACATTTCAAGTTTCAACAATATCGGATAAAAATTGTGACCTCTATAGGGTCCACAACCTTGATATACCATATTTTTACGCTATTTGAGAACAAACATCGGCCATTTTGTCTGTCAATTTTGGGCCGATTTTCACGTTCCGATATGCGCGAATATCGAAAGGAACCGAGATCTTTGGGTTATGATTCTTACATTTCAAGTTTCATCCAAATAGGATTAAAATTGTGACCTCTATAGGGTCCACAACCTTGATATACCATATTTTTACGCTATTTGAGAACGAAGGGCAGACATTTTGTCTGTCAGTTTTGGGCCGATTTTCACGAAATTCGAACTCAGTCGTCCTTAGGGTGTAACAGTGATATAATAATATGTTTTTCTAAATCAGATAAAAATTATGACCTGTATAGTGTCAACAAGCTAAAAACATGATTTTTCGTAGAATCAGGGGCCATAATTCAGGAAGTTCCGGTCCGATATGCTCGAATATCGAAAGGAACCACTATCTTTGGGTTATAAACTTACATTTCAAGTTTCAACAAAATTGGATAAAAATTGTGACCTCTATTGGGTCCACAACCTTGATATACCATATTTTTACGCTATTTGAGAACGAGGGGCGGCCATTTTGTCTGTCGGTTTTGGGCCGATTTTCACGAAATTCGAACTCAGCCATCCTTAGGGTGTAACGGTGATATAATAATACGTTTTTTTAAATTGGATAAAAATTATAACCTCTATAGGGTCCACAAGCTAAAAATGCAATTTTTCATACAATCAGGGGCCATAATTCAGGAAGTTACGGTCCGATATGCGCGAATATCAAAAGGAACCGAAATCTTAGGGTTATAAACTTACATTTCAAGATTCAACAAAATCGGATAAAAATTGTGACCTCTATAGGGTCCACAACCTTGATATACCATATTTTTACGCTATTTGAGAACGAACGGCAGCCATTTTGTCTGTCATCCGTCCTAAGGGTTTAACCCTTAACCGGTCGACCTCATTTCAACGTTATGACGTCAAGTGGTCAGGCTAAATAAAGGCTGATTTGAAATATTTTGTATGCCTATTTCAATCGACTACTGCCGAATAATTATAAGTTGCTGGGGATAAGTTGATCTATAATTTGCAAATCATTCTAAATCCTTTTCATCAGAAATATCGTCTTCAGAATCGGTGTCATCGATATAATCTGATTCAGAACAATTCATAAGTATTTCAACCACTTCGAGTGTCTTTAACGTTCCCGACACCGTTAAATTACGTTTTTCGTCCAAAAATGTTGAACAAAGACATGTTTTCCTCAATGCCCTTGACAAGACAAGTTCCTGTCTGACACGCATGCGTGGCCATATCAATTAAATACGAAACTAAATACTCAAATGCGGCTTATAAAAAAGGTTCTTGCTGCGGTCGACATTAGTCGACCGCGGTGGTGCTAGAGTCGACAATGACCGGTTAAGGGCTAACGGTGATTTTTAAATCGGATAAAAATTATGACCTCTATAGGGTCCACAAGCTAAACACGCGATTTTTCGTACAATTAGGGGCCATAATTCAGGAAATTAAGTTCCGATAGCGCGAATATCTTTGGTTTATAAGCATACATTTCAAGTTTAAACCAAATTGGATAAAAATTGTGACCTCTACAGTGTTCACAAGCTAAAAACGTGATTTTTCGTACAATCAGAGGCCATAATCCATGAAGTTACAGTCTGATACATGCTAATATCAAAAGGAACCGAGATCTTAGGGTGATAAACCTATATTTCAAGTTTCATTGAATTCGGATAAAAATTGTGACCTGTAGACTGTTCACAAACAATTGTGGACGGACGGACAGGGGCCTCCGACAATATACGTCGTGGGCGTATAAAAAGGCGATTTTTCGTACAATCAGGGGCCATAATTCAGGAAGTTACGATCCTATATGTGCAAATATCGAAAGGAACCAAGATCGTACAATCAGGGGCCATAATTCAGGAAGTTACGATCCAATATGCGCGAATATCGAAAGGAACCAAGATCTTTTGGTTAGAAACATGTGTTTCAGGTTTCATCAAAATCGGATCAAAATTGTGACCTCTAGAGTGTCCACAAGCTAAAAACGCAGTTTTTCGTACAATCAGGGGCCATAATCCATGAAGTTACGGTCCGATACATACCAATATCGAAAGGAACTGAGATCTTAGGGAGATAAAGCTATATTTCAAGTTTCGCTGAAATTGGATAAAAATTGTGACCTGTAGAGTGTCCACAAACAACCCGTTGTAATTTAGCCAAAAGTAGATTGATTATTTAAGATACCACAGTGGCAGATTCATTGTTTTACCAATCGGCTTGAATAAACATCAATCGGTTAAAGCCGACAAAATACAGCCCCATGATGAACACTGACCCTGACTGACATTTGAGAGTTTTTTGGGGTTTTTTTAGAATTTTTTTACGCAAATCCTTGTCGATTCGCAGCGTAAGCTCTTGCGAGAATTAGATTTGGCAATTCGTGTGAATTTCTAGCCCTGGACGTGGACTTCAAAAATGCTTATCCGGACCCATAACCCTTGTAAGATTTCAGGTCAATTTTTTTGTTGCGTGATTTGATAATGGATTCTCGTTCCTTTAGAGGTCTATGGTGAATGACCCATGTGCTGTACTTGATAACGAAAGGTAAATTTCATCTAGACATTATTTTATAAAAGTCTGGTTTTATCTAGACATCGCATAATACAGCTTGGGACACCGGTCTCCATTTCCAGATGAAGACTGATGGGTTTAAGTTGTTTGAAAACGTATCACAAATATTGAGTTAGTTGCTCGGCTCTTAGGTAGAGGATTTTAAGAGATTTTAACACAAAATTAAGCAGTTTTATTCTCCAACATATTATCGGGATTGCCCCTTTAACTATGGTCTAGTGCATGTAAACGTTTAAAAATAATCAGCCGAAAATGTAACTGATAAATACACAACAATGTTTTCTTATATGTATGTGCAAAAACTAAGGGCTGTGCATACACAAATGTTAAATTCCATCGTCATTTGCACGTACTTAATAAAACGAAGAATCCGGGCAGAGGAAATTAAGTATTCGTTTCAGCGCGACTGGTGAAATTTTAATGTGACTAAGGAACTTAATTTTTTGTGACAACGTCATGGTTACATCACATAAAAATACAACTTAGCAATGCTTTAATTCTTCATGAATGATGTTTTTAATGGTAAGTCTTATCATATATGTTCAAATAAGCTACAAATATATCTTGTTATCGTATTTTTTTTCTGGTCATAGACCGACCTACTATTGGGAAAATTTGTCAGCAAAACTAAAAAATTTGACTTTGAAAGTTATTTTTGCAAAGAGTCAATTTTAAACACCAAAATAGATCTTGGAGTTGGATAATCCCTGCACAGGACAACAAAAATGGTTAACTTGATCATATCAGCCTGCATTAAATACACAAGTAGAAATAACATACAACAAGACTTTCTACACTTTGGAGATCTTTGAATTTCTTGTCTTTGGATGTCCTAGAAGCAGACGACTGTGACAAAGTTCTGATTCCATTATATATTGACGAAAGCTGTGAAAATGCTGCCAACACCTAGAATGAAAATATGTTTAGAAAAGTTAATGTAATGTAGAACTACATGTAGAAGCAGAAGTACATAAGAAACCCAAATACAGTTCTCTAATGTACAATTAATTATCAATCTAATTTTTTATACTTTCGAAGGCCTACACTACATGTAGATCTAACAGGTTATAGTGGGAGTTCACGTTCTATGACCTCAGGTACCTAGCAAGCGACATTTGACCCGATTACGTCAGTCATTTGATTAACCAATTAGCGACCGCCATGTATTTTTTATCTACTTTTGCTTTGTTTTGATTTCTATTGCCGCTAATGTCTACCCACAGTTCCGTGCAAAAAAAGGTCAAACGCTCAATTCGACAGACCATTTGATTGGCTGACCCCTCATTTCAAGCAGAACACGAGTTAAATAACGACGCTTCCAGATCCAAGTGTAGTAAAGACAAGTAAAATCAAAATTTTGAACTATAAAAACAAAACGAACTTGGATCTGTGTTTTAATCAGATTGATTAATTATTGTCTAGATCAGAATGAGCTAGTTTAAGTTACTAGTATTAATCTAGACCTAGAAAAAACCCATGAGGTTGGGCAGGCGATAGTAGTCCTTGTTACATACAAACAGGGCCACCTTCGTCTCGTCCAAATGTTCAACCATAGTCTTGACTATGTTGTGTTGGAATTGTTATATGAAGATAGAACGTATACTACCAATGTTGCCCCAGAACCTGAGACTTATTTAAATTCATATAACATATTCAAGTAGTTTCCAGATTATATAAAATAGAGTGGATAATCATGTTTAGTCAATCAATTCAACCAGGGCAGATGTCAGACTGAATTTGTGAAAGTGACAGTATTATAGTGAAAATATTTCATCCATTTGTGAATTTTATTTGGAAAAACAGTAACACAAACAAACGATTTTGTTCATTAAATACATCAGTTTGATATACATTGTAAATATAACTTATGTAACTGTAAATAAACTCAGGATATTTGGTTGGTTTGTTTATTTTATTCTCTGGGGATAACTCGGTCAGGAACTCAACTGTGAGTAGATTTCTTGAAATCGTTATCATATTCTACCGTGACTACCTCTAGTACAGCCTTTTCAGCATAGTCAGAAACTTTTGGCAAACGTTCCAGGAATTTGTCTCCAAAGAATGATGTGGTCATATCAAAGTTTTCATTAAGCAAACTTGCATTTTCGTTAAGTAAAATGATGTGTAGCAGTTCATTGAAGAGATTGGCATCCATTTTGAAGACTATGGTCGAACTAGCTTCCGTTCGGGTGTAATGAACTATACTCTGCCGTATAGTCATGACCATACAAGCGCACCTGAAGGCTGCCCAAGCTGGACATCAAATCAGAACCATCCATGCCACTCACTGTTGGTAGCGCATGCCTTACACAGAAGACAATTCACCCACTCAAACCATGTACCGTAATATCGTATTGAATAGGTCTATTCACTGACGACACCGATGTGTGTCGGCATTTGAAAATCACGTCCTCAAAAACATTCCACAAGGAGCGATTACTACAGAAATCAGAGTAAAAGTAAGTAAACCTGAGAGTGAGAGAGCACGACAGTTGAGTGACGACTGAATTCTGATGATACACTGGACACCATTTGAAGGTCCTGGGATAAATGATACAACATAAAGATTTTTGTTTTCATTATTAATGCCTTTTAGAATACATTTACCTGTGGCTGAAAAGCGTTGTGCGAAAACAGAGAAGCCATATTTTACTGGAAATTTCGTCAATATCACTTATGCAATATGAACATTTTCCTGAGTCGTAAAGCCACCGGCAACTTCCGGCAAGTTTGCTTCCGGGTCAAATCAATCAAAACTACTCGGCTTTAATCGACAGACGGCAGGGGATGGGATTGGGATAACGTCTACTCGACACAAACTAGGTCATTTCGGGACTAACATAAATATGGTTCAATTTTATTCCAATAATTCGCTTGTGCGTAGGGGTCTTTAGCCGTGGGAGGAAACCGAAGGACTCAGAAAAAAACCTACGAGGTTACAGCGACACCACTTCTTGTCACGTACAACCGGGGAATCAAAACCACGCTGCAGTCGTTGACTCAATGACAGACTTTATGATACAGCGCGCAGGCAATTCGACCATCCAACCCCGCCTTTCACCGCGGTAATTAGAAATGGTTCCACTACTGGTGTCTAATTCTGTCTTACTCCAGCCACAGCTAGTGGATCTTTCTAATTTTTAAGCAGTTCCTTTGAGCAAGTTTTTTCAGTCAAATAACTACAAAAACGTTACTGGCCTATAGCTCCCTTAAAGTTGCAATTTCATATTTTTAAGTTATATTTTTAAAATGAATTAAAATAAAGCCTTAAAGAGACAATAACACTCTTGCTGGCTTGACAGCTCCAGTAAATAAATATTAGCCTTATTCTAAGTATTAGATGTTTAAGTGTCCTACCTGTTGTGTAAATTATCCATTAGGCCTACATCCTATTTTACTTGTCCAGAGGGTTCGAAAATATTTTTAAATCCAAGTCACATTTGAAAAGGTTTACGTTAGGCTTTTCAAATCAATTAGTTGAATTTTTCCAATTTTTTAAATTAGGTGTGTTAAGATGAAATTTGTATCATCAATTAATTGGAATACTGTAAAGTAGTACAATTTGTTGACCAGAATAAAGATTGGGACATATTATTCAGTTACAAGAAGAGTGGTATTGAGCCTTTGAAATAGATGGTATCTATAAACATTCGTGCCTTGTTAAAGAATAATCCTATTAATCCTATAATTCACTATTGCCAGTTGAGAAATTGGCAAAAATATCATTTTCAACTTCAAATTCAAACGTTTGAAGATAGCTATTCCATGGGGGCGGGGGGGGGGGGGAAATAGAAAAACAAGGGAGGTAAATGTAATTGTGTTATAATTTCCGGGGTCGAGGATTTGTAAGTGGGAGAATGATACCTATGATCGTATAATAGCGAGTTGACAACCCATTGAGCAAAATAGGCCTGCAGACAAAATTTCAAGCTTGCTTAGAAACACAATTCCGCTACATGGTCCTCCCAAATAAACAAACTGTACATTTTTGGAAAGCTTTTAACACCAGGAACATAAATCCAGAGAGTTCCATGCAAAAAGTCTGCACTTACTCTATTTAGGGCCAGATGAAAATTTTGATAATTGTCAAGTAAATGCTATATTTACACTAATAATTGTGAAGTTGACATAAAATTAAATGTTGGCGAAAACACCCGATGCCTTCATCCTAGGCAAAGAACACATTATTGGTTAAATTTTGATTTAAACCAAAATGCAGAAAACATAATGGAATGGACAATGGCACATACAGAATTTTGGAAATCCATTAACGGTAATAGAGAGTTATCTCCCTTTCTGTCAAATGTTTGGAATTGGTAACAGTATTTCAGGTGCGTGTTGACTGCTGATGCTGTATGACGCACAAGACCATGTGTGAGTACACACGCCCAATATTTATATAGTTAATGGGGTCACAGGGGACTGCAAGGGTTGGTGAACGGGTGTTTACCCAGAAATTATGGGCGGAGCGCCTAGTCAGATGAGCAAGGAGATATGTTTGACATTGGTTGAGCAATATGTCTATGAAGTAATGGAGACCAGGGCCCTAGAAAATTCTTAAAGTAAGCACAAAGTCATGCTTCACTTTTTCTTACGTAAGAAACTTATAAAAATACCGTCCCTAGAAAATTCTCATGACCATTCTTACGAAAGCACAAGTCAAGTATAAGTCTAAGTACATTGTGACTGGTAAAGTTTACCATAAACTGAGACTACGATGCTCTTTAACGTCATAAAAACAACTTTGGTATGCGAATTACGTCATAAATTTGTCGTCTGCTTCATTGACGTCATATATAATATATATGGTTCATTTCGATGCATTTGACATGTCCCCTATACACATATAAAATATGCCACAAGATAAAAAACGCAGACACATACAAAGTAACTGAATAATTGTGAGAGCGCCTGATCTTAAAGTAGCCTGTGTGTTTGTAGCCTATTGTTTAGCCTACTAATTGGCAAATAAATAAAATGGTTTTAGGGTAGGCCTAGAAGCGAAATTTTCTATAGCATTCTTAATTTGAAATTTCTTCTAGAGAAGGATTTTCTCTGTCTTGTAATTGTCTCTTTGATATCAAAAGGTGTCGGAAATGCCGTCGAATAACTCTACGGTCAGCCATCTTTTTGAAGCAGAAACAGACTTATGGTTGGTAAGCAAGACGTATAGCCCACCTTGATTGGGACTTGTGCTTAGATTGACTATGTTTCAGAACGAAGTTGTGCTTAAGCTTTTTCTTGGAACGCATAATAACGTTCTTGTGCTAATGAAGTCTACTTAAAATCTAAGCACAAGAACGTTCTTAAGAATTTTCTGGGAACACAAAATAAGGTAAGTTTACTTAAATGCAAAGTCTACTTAAATCTAAGCACAAGAACGTGCTTAAGAATTTTCTAGGAATCGGGCCCAGACTATGTCCTTAGTTTTGTAAATCGCATTGAAACCACGTGACTTTTTCCACTAAAACATAAACCCACACGAACATACCCTTTCAATTAGACCCTACATTATTTTTACTACAGGTAGCTGTAGCCTAAACCTCTAGTTCAGATATTTAAGGTCGAATTAAAAACATTTAAACTGAAACCGTATCTATAATTGTGTAATTTGCTTACAAATATAGATTTAAGACAAAAACTATTTATTGAAGTAAATCAATTATTGAAAATCAAAATTACATAGTTACCCTGCACTTTAAAAGTCATCAAAGTTGGTCGTTATCATCATCACTGTCACTAAATGTATAAACATCAAGTTCGATTTCTTTAACAGTCTTTTTGTTTCATTTTCACATTTACTACACTTACACAGATTAGATATGTAGCCTACATGTACAAGATAACCCCGGTGTGGTATCCCCCTGTCAGTGGTACGGGATGGGAGTGGGCTGGAAGGACAATGCTTAGTCGTTCGGACAGGAGGGAAAACAACAGTTTAAACAATATTTGATTCAACAAACTGAATTGGATTGAACAACAGGTAAGGGGCTACATGGGCGTAGGGGGGTAATCTCAGTTAGGGGTGGGGTGGGGGCTGAGTCTATTTGCCTGAAAAATTTGTCACCCAAATTTACTGAATGAATCAATCATTAACTAAAATGAATTTTCCAGAAAGCTGTGATGGTTGTTTATTTTAAATTAATTACACAAATATACAACTATACTGTAATAGTAAGTGCAGGGGGACTGCACCACACAAAATTTACACAAAAACAAATACACGGACAGGACATCATACTCAGGAAAACACAAACATACAGACAATTCAAAAAAAAGGGAATGGATCCGGGGGTAGTGAGTGCCAATTGTAATGAAGAGAAAAAAAATCAACCGTCATAATAAAGATGTACATACGCCCGCCATACATTACGGTCTACTCTTTATTTCGAATTTAAAGTTCTTTTACGTGCACGTCAACGTGTGCACGGGACCTCAGTTTTATATTCCATCCGAATAACTGGACGCTGCCCATCACAGCGACCCGCTTCCTGTACCACAGACAAGGGGAAACAACGCTGGAAAGTTTGGGGAACTGTCTAGGTCAACACGGATCAAACCCCAGACCTCCCGATTAGTGAGCCACGGACAAGGGGAAACATAATAGTTGTACACGTACAGATATTAAACCCCATTTTATATTTTTTCTCTTCATTACAATATTGTCCCTCCCATTACAGTACTATTTAGTTTTGGCCCTATCTATTTTAGTGAGAAAACTAAATATCTGTAGAAGCTATATGTTTCAGGTTAAATATTTGTTAGACCTTTAGCTCCAAATTCTATCTGAAAAAAGGCTGAAATTCTATAGGCCCTTGCCTGTAGTTAAATCCTTTTACTGTTATCAATAATTATTGACATTTTCCATAAAGGGAGATAACTCATTTTACCATAGATGGATTTCCGAAATTCTGTATATTTCCTTGTCCATTATGTGTTCTGCATTTTGCTTTAAATCACAATTTAACCAACAGCATATTCTTTGCAGAGGATGAAGGCATCGGGTGTTTTCGCAAATATTTAATTTTATGTCAACTTTACAATTATTAGTATAAATATAGGATTTACTTGACAATTATCACAATTTTCATCTGGCCCTCAATCGAGTTAGTGCAGACTTTTTGCTTGGAACTCTCTGGATTTGTGTTCCTGGTGTTAAAAGCTTTCCAAAAATGTATAGTTTGTTTATTTGTGAGGACCATGTAACGGAACTTCATGCTAAAAATTTTGGCTGCAGGCCTAAAAGACATAGAAATAATTATATTTGACTTTCTTAGAAAATATGAAATTCTCGCTTTAATTTCCACATAAACTGACCCCAAATTGTACTATATATGGTTTAACTATTCTTTTGCCTTGGCATGGTTCCGACTTGTGTATCATCAACAGAATTCAAATTAATATCAAATCAGAAGAAATCATGGGCCAACTAATGTTTTCCAAAAAAATAAGACTTATCCGACTTAACGCTTTGGCACTTGCATTGACAGACCCCTAGACCATGCTTGAATATAGGCCTATAAAGAACCAAAAACGTGTTTTGCATTTATTGCAGGTGTGATCAAACTCTACTACAAGGGTGCGATGGAAAATAATTTAAAAAGTGTTGTAAAAAACTGGTTAAGTGGGGTTGGGGATAGGAATGAGGGAAGAAGAAAAAAAGGAAGAGAGGAGGAGACAGCTTCAGGAGAAGGAACACGGTGGTGGTGTTTGGGGAGGGGGGGGGGGGGTATTGACATAGAT